GCTCTGATGGCCATCCAGGTGTGCTTGATGAGCCATTGCTGTGATTATCAGCACGGTGCATTAGCACAGCTTGAAGCCCCTCAAGTAAATCGCAGAGGAGAGGTGAGCATTTGTACTGCAGGTGGTCCCCAAACTACGTTAATGGGCTTCCACCTGCTGCTGGGTCACTGAACCTTCTGGAAAGCCCCTGCCCACGATGCTCTTGGTCTGTTAGAGGGAGCCAACAGTGGAGCCCGACTAAAATTAGGCACATTAGGAACACAAGTGCTTTGCCTTTCTTGGCATGTCGTTCATCATGTCTTCCATTCTGAGCCAGAATTCCCTATATGTTCACATTTGGGGTGTTTGGATTTATGTGTGCTTGTGTTTTTGCTTGCACTTGGGTACAGGTGTGCATGTCTGTATAAATTTGGTTTTCCCGTCTGGCACAGTCAGTGCAGATCCCCTCCACGGAGGCATGCAATCTAAGGCAACTCAGCTCTGTCCTGCTGCTGTCCCATGTCACAGTTTTAGGCAAGATAATAAACCAGAACCTGTCACATCCACTCTAACTTCCAATCTCTAAGGATCAACATAGTGCTCTGGGCTATCGGCCATGTTGGGGCGGCTGCAGTTTTCATGCCACAGGGTGCCAAGGGGGGTGCCCGTGGCATACACACAAATAAGACGAGGCAAGGGGAAGGGGCTGGCACAAATGTCCACTTTGAGAAAACCCACAATGAGCACACTGTGGCCTCTTTGGCGGCACTTTCATCAACTCAGCAGTTAAATGCCTCTCTTTATTTAGCTCTCAAACTGTGCAGACTATCAATTGCACCATTAAGACAATCCTCAGTCACACTGAACAATGGAACATTAACATTTCTTGCTGGGTGCAGTCTTCTACTTTGCGATTACTGTGCCTACTCATTTATCCGCCGTTACATTAGTCTGGATGAAGTTCTGATCAATGCTCTGGTCATATTTCCATTTAGTGTGAGTTGCCAGACAGCAAATTAAAAGAGAAAGCTGGTGACTGCCGAAGCCTTCAGTATAGATTGGAAGTGTCATAAAATTTCACTTTTAAAGAATTGCTTTACCATAGGCAGTATTAAAGGAACAGTTTAAACCAGTGTAAAAAATACACATTTTTCCTTTTATCTGTAGTGCTATTTATCAATCTAGAATATTTTGGTGTGAGGTGCAGTGTGTTCGAGACACTGGCATTAGAGATGAATGACTTCTCCTGAATATAATGGAGCCAGATGGCACTTGTGGTGCTCAAAGCACCAAAAAAACAATAAAGTCTCTTTCCAGAAATCATGACCCAGTTACTTAAGGTGTTACTTAATGTTACAGCTCACGCGAGGAGGACGCCATCAGTGTTTTACATCTTGCGCTGTCACGAGCACAAGCTTCTTGTCCATGAGTAGGTGCACACTTCCTTTTCCACATTGATGCAGTTGGTGGGTGTAGTTTGGTAGAAAGGAAATAGCTCCTACATGAAACTGCTCACAACAAGGACTGTGAATTATCTTGAGTAACCGGGTCATGATCAAGGTTTTCGAATCTATTTCTTTTTTTTGGCCTTTTGTATAGAGTGCCATCTAGTTCCATTGTACTTGAGAGAAGACAGACATCTCTTGGCAACTGACACATGAACATTTTAGATGGATGCACTGAGAGAAAAAATATGTCATTTTGATTTTGTGTGTCTGAACATGTCTACATGTAAAATAAGGAGAGAAGGAAGATGAAAAGAGACTGATTACGGGATAGGGCGACATAATTATTTTATACAGCCAATGTGTGAGTATCTGTGTGTCCTTGCAGAGCTACAGAGCACCTTTCAAATCCATTTTCTTAGATAATTCTTGTTTTAGTGCATTAGCCCCTGCTCAGTGATGCATTAGCCGCCTTATTTAAGTTCCCGGCACTAATCTGTACTGCAGTGAGAATCCCACTGAGTGTGCGAGTCAGTGAAGGAATGAAGACCTTGGCCAGTAACCTCAAACTCCACTGATCTCTCCCTGTACCCCATATCTCTGCTGTCATTCCCTGCCTCCCTGGCTCATTACTCAACATGCCCTATTAAAAGAATAAAGCAATACAATACATTATGTAGCATATTGCTTGACAAAAAGGAATTGACTGTGTTAATAATGGCCACTGATAAATGCCTCCATTGATACTGAGGATGTCCTTGGCTTAACTCAGCCTCGCTTCAGTTTTCGGACGTCCTCCTGAACACTGGCTTGTCTGTGCCTCTGTGTATAGAGGCTCTCTGTATCTTTCAGCTCGCCATTACATTTGAGGAGGATATCAAAGACAGAGCTGTTGTTCTTTTAGTCAGAGAAAGTCAGGGTTAACCCGGCAGTGACCAGAATTAACTTGCTGCCTTCTAAAAATATGCGTCAGGCCACCGCATTGACCCAGCAGTAAAAGTGACCAGCGGAAGTAAATGCCCTTGTATAGCACTGGCATTTTTGTGTGTGGATTAAACCTCAGGGCAAAGAAGTAAAACTACTGGATAGTCAATTTGCTCAGCGACACGGAGGCGGGGACTGGTGGGAGTGCGACAGCAACCCGCAGCCTGTCCGATTAATTAGCACAATTGGCATGAGTTCCTGCTCTGCCATGGGGGATGTGGGTGTGTTGTGCTGGCAGCAAACTGTTGACCTCTGTGCTGTGGCAGGGCAATATGGCAGCATGTAGGAGGAGGTGTTTTTTTTTCATTTGCAATCAATTTTTTATTGAGAATCAAACCCAACATGAACACACATAAAACAAAGCAAAAGAGAACTAATGGCGACACACACCTCCCACTCCCTATATACCATAGATCTCCGATTAATCCACAGGGAGATGTGTGTTTGGATGACAAAGAGAGAATAAAATATTGAAAAAATAATGAGGGAGAAAAGGTCAAAAAGTCACATGTGGAGGTGCAGTTATGATAAAGTTACATAAAATTTTGGGTTCTACTTCGGGCTCTTGTCCAGGACAACAGCGTTCCCAGGCACTGAAAGTTCCAGAACACTGGATAAACACAGAACCGCTGGGATTTGTGAAAGTGTAGGGAGGACTCTAATTCAATGCAAGCATTTTTTATTCTATTTTGTTTTTGCAGCTGTTAGGCTGGCTAGTAAGATACGTTAAGATACAGTGGGGGTGTATGACCCTTCACATTTCAAAATCTTTGCCAGTAAGGAGGAGACAACTTTCCAAAAGAGATACATCCTTACAATTCCAAAACATGCTTAAAAAGCTGAGGAGTCCATCCATACAAAGAGTGCATACTGGTGACTTTTCTTGGGAGTGAGATAGCTTCAGTGTTAGAATTTAAGTTGATGCTGATGATTTCGTTTTTTGGAGGTTTCAGCTGTGTAATCGTTTGTAAGAATATACAGAAAACAAGGAGTACAGTTTTGATACTAATCCTTTATTAAGATCATGTGTCGTCAACATAGAATACAAGTGGTGTGTTTTCAGTGGTTCATTACATTGAAAGACCATATACTTTTAGTCATAATCTTAGCTGTAGATGTAGAAAAAATGATGACCCAGGTAAGTCATAGGTAACATGAATATGATTAAGCCCAGTTTAGACCAAAGACTCGTGACGAGACGAAACCGTTGCAGAGAAAACTTGCAGCAGTGTGAACTGGCTGCCTGAGCTCAACTCAAGCTGGCTGATGGTGTCACCTGCAACTCCACTGATCAAATCACCGGCAGCTGGTTTAAGAATGCAAGGCCAGTCACCTGTTTGTACATTCAATCAGCTTGTAGTGAAGCTTGTGGTCAAGTTAAAATGACGACACGGAGAGTTGTTGTATAGAGATGATACACCATCTCATCTAGTTGCATTGGTGTGAACTGGCAGATTTTTAGAACGTTGCAGAACGGTGCATTACAAGTCGTTTCAACTCGTCTCGTCGCAAATCGGTGGTCTGAACTGGGCTGTAGATGACCTGAGACCATTTCTGCTAAAGATGCGCGCCAGTTAATGTCTACTTCAAATCAGTGCAAAGTTATTACAGGTGTGCTTTCAAGATGCAATTTTTCATTCTTTTGGTCTCCTTTTCTGTAACGCACCATGTGGATAGTAAAAGTTCTATAAATGGACCAAGCCAGAGTTTTGATTGTTTGAGAGGAATAAAATGAAAATAAACAGAGTCTGCTCATCTGCATTGAGAGGCAAGGTTTTCTTATGTGGGTTTCCAAGATATTATTGCTTCTGGATTAAGACAGATTGAGAGTAGAGCTGCTACGATTTATCAGTTCAGTTAGTTGTCAGCTATGAAATAAATCAGCAACTCATTTAATAATTGGTTTGAGTATTTTTTAAGGCATAAAAGGCGTCATTCTCTGATTGCAGCACTTAAATGTGAATATTTTGTGGTTTCTTCTACGAAGGTAGAAGAAACCACAAAATCAAATCAAATACCTTTAGGGTGGTGGACAAAGCACGACATTTAAGGACATCATCTTGGGGTTTGGGAAACACTGACTGACATTTTTCATTCATTGATTTTTCACTGATTGACATTTGCTGACGTTTTATTGATTAACGTAGAAAATAACCAACAGATTAATCAACAGTTAAAATAAGCATTAGTTGCAGCCCCAGAAATAACAATTGACATTTGACACCGAAAGACTGCCCTTACATTTATGCCTGTGTAATGCGGACATCTTGACCCCTGGTTGTCTCCCACTCATATGAACTTGGAAATTAAGGACTAAAATCTACTCCTGTAGTAAGAGAGATGAGAAAAGGGTAACAAGTAAAAAACTGGCAGGGTAGTGCGGGGCATCAGGGACACTGTCATTTGCTGGTTGTTCTGTGTGAAATCAAATATTTCACAATAAAATCAAGTTACCTGTGGTTTCATTTTCTAAAATCCAGTATTGTGCCTTCAGGACTTTTCTAATGAAATTCCTTGTTTTTGTCTCCACTTGCTTTATTACTCTATTTTAACTTTTTTTTTTTCTTCTTCTTCTATCTTCATCCCTCCCAGAGCCTATGCGTCCATTACGGGGCCTCACCGCCACAGATATCCAGTCCAGGCAGTTGTCCCTGCAGTGGGAGAATCTGGCGTTCAACCTGACACGCTGCCACACCTACTCAGTGTCCCTGTGCTACCGCTACACCACGGCGGGAGGCGGTGGAGGCCACAACACCACGGTGCGCGAGTGCCTGGCAGTGGAACACAACGCCTCACGCTTCACGCTGCGTGATCTGCCACCCTACCACGGCATCCATGTCCGTCTGTCACTGGCCAACCCAGAGGGGAAGAAAGAGGGCAGAGAGGTCACGTTCCAGACCGAGGAGGACAGTAAGTCTCTGGAGGAGGTTACGGAAAACATAGTATGGAAGAAGAGGACAGAAAAACTTAAAATGAAAAGTGTCATTACACCTGAACATAAATATATGCACGTAGTTTCCATATTATTAGGCACACCTGGCTGAAACTAATGCATCTAATACAACAGTGCCTCAAAACTTCCTACCGTCATGAAGGTCTAATGTTCAGGTTTCTTAAGCTGTTTTGGAGGTGGTGTTTAAAATTAATGATAATTTTGGACGATGTAATACGTGTTGGTGTTGAACTATATCGCATGGGACGGAGAAAATAATAGAAACACCTGCTATAAATTTTATAGCAATGAGAGTAGGCTAAATAACAGAAACATCTTTCTGTACAATGCAAAACAATTTTTTTAAAGATTATTTTTTTCTGGCTTTTGCCTTTAATGAACAGGACAGAGTGAAGTGGGGTGACAGAGAGAGCGGGGGGTGACATGCAGCAAATGGTTGCAGGCCGGAGTCGAACCTGCGACCGCTGCAGCAAGGCATCGCCTCTGTACATGGGGCGTCGGCACTATCCACATCGCTACCGACGCCCCAATGCAAAACAATTTTATAACACAACAGTTTGCAGCCTCCAAAATGCTCATAAAACTCAATCAACAACAACTGAACATTCAGGAAGGGAGAATTTATTGCAGGGCTGTTGTATAACGACCAAAATACATTGGGTACGGACGCAATGCGTCAGAAGGGGCGGGACGGAGTGGGGTTTTCTACCTGCTACGCAGAGTCCATCTTCACTGAGTGTGTACTGATTTTTTCCAAGTGCAGTTTTTTATGGAGGCTTTGGAAGCATAAACTGGGACTGCATTAATTGACTAGTTTGCTTTAACTACAGGATGATTTGATTGATTTATTTTATTGTGAAACGTACAAACACCCACAAGGTTGGTCTGCTGCTTCCATAGACTGTATAAGGCTGCTTCGCATTGCCTCTGATACAATGAGGTATTCATTTGAATCTTTTTTTAAACACTATAATTTGCTTTTTACACAGTTCTATGTATTTTTCACCTGTTGGTGGGCTGTGGAGCCGTGAGTACGGAAAAACATGTTTTTTTTTTCTTTTACCAGTTGTGTAAAAATAGCAGCACGAGTGCAGCTTCCGTGGTCGGAGTCGCAGCTTATAATGAACGGGCTCTGCTGCGGGCATGCTACAACAGACGTGTCACGCTGCATCTGTGCCCCACTGTATTTCAGCCGTAAGACTGCATTAATATTAGCAATGTACTTTATATCTAATACCCTGGCAACTGAGTGTATTTATACACCATCTTTATTACTTACTCAAAAAAAAAAAATCCTTTTCAATCACAGGGATATGATCTTACTGAACACTGAATTCTAAATTATATAGACTATAGTAATTACAGTGTGTTGTGTCTATGACATGCTGGCAGTACATTGTTTATTGTTTTAAAATGCAGTTAAGAGTAACAGGCAAAATGACCCAGCTTCCATCATCTTCATGCACGTGTTACTTTCTTTCCTTGTCTCCAGAGTGACCCAGGGTTATAATTGTCATATCTTAAATTATAATCACATGGATTACTTTAGATATCTGCTTTGGAGGAGTGTGACGTCTAAAATGTACCAGAATACTTTAAATTGTTTAACTATTCTCATAGTAAATGTCAAACGGGAGGCTATCCAGGCCTGATACTGCCTACACACAGACCTTAACTGTCACATTTACCTAATTCTAGGATGGTTGTTTCTGAAGTTTGAAGGTCTTTTTCAACATAAATCAAGTGCACCACATGTGGATAAAATATACATTCTCATATATTAAAACAGTTTGGGTTCAAACGTGGTGGATTTCCTTAAGATTTAAAAATATTAATGCCATCTCCTCCCTTCCTCTATCAAAATATAGAGAGGGTGACCATCTGACTGAGGCTGAATCAGCATTACAAAAGATCCATTTCATTTTCAGACGAAAATAACATAAAAGAGAAAACATTATATCGGAGTCTCTGGCAACCCTGAGATAGGATTTTGTGCTTATTTCTTATCTCCTATTATTCCTTTGTGCTGCAGCGCATCGTCTGCATGGCAGCTGAGAGAGAAATCAATTCTGCCGTGAAAAAATCAAAACAAACAAGATTTTTCAGAAAGAGATATATACAGAGAAAGATAGAAGATCAAGGGAGAGTGAGAAAGCAGAAGAAAGGTTTTTTTTTTTCCTGAACTGATAAAAGATAAATATATGTACATATACATACAGTGCATGTCAATTATGAATGCCGTTTCCAAAAGCCTTAATAAGCAACTCTGTCCTCCAGACTAACTCAATTCAAAAATAACAGTCGACTCAGCTGTTCAGCTCCTGCTTTAGCCTCAGGCCTGAATCTCACATAACAGTCTTCTTCTGTACAGCGCTCACACAGACCATAGGGACTGAGGCTGCAACCGAATGGCCCAAAAAAAACTCTTAACAGAGCCTAATGTTGAATGTGCAGGCATTGACAGTCCTCTCACTGATATTCAGAAACAAGTTTACCCGCAAACGTCTGACATATTCATCAATATATTTCACTGAAGATTGATGCAAAATGATAATATCCCTCTTAGACTATTTTTCTCGTGTGTGTGTTGTGGTTACATAATTGATGCAGTTCATAAATTAACTGTGTCCTTATCTGATGTTCTGCTCCTACTGCTCTCTGGCTGTCTGAGTGTCTCATGTGGTGCATTGTTCTGAGCCACTGTGACATTCACTTCTGTGATATTGACAGGAGAGGCACACTGTGGGATTAGTGCTTCAATTTCCCCGACAAATGTTTGCTCTGACAATTTCTTATAGTTCCTGGAGGCATAGCGCCGGAGTCGCTCACCTTCACCCCGCTGGATGACATGATCTTCTTGAAGTGGGAGGAGCCTGTTGAGCCCAATGGCCTTATTACCCAGTATGAGGTGAGCCCAGAGACACTGTCAATTTTTTTTTGATCTTGTCACTTTGAAAATTGGGAGACTGTTGTTTTAATGGCTGAAAAATCTGAAGCCCCAGTAGTCTGATAAAATGTACCATCGGACCCAGAGCCCACTTCTCCAACAGCGTGGTATCCTGTTTCTCCATGACAGGCTACACACTTTCCCAGACAAAAGCACAAGGCTAATTATTATGCAGAATGATGTCATTGGATCTTCCTGATGTGGCTGCTACTTGTTCCCTGTGTTGCTTGGGTTGGTTAGGTTTAGGCATGAGGAGTGAGATTGGTAAGGGTTAGGATAGCAGAGTAACCAAATCAGAGGCAGAGGAGGGCGGGTCATGTCTTCACCATAGTAGGAAGGTCCGATGAAGTCATGGAGTGCATTAATTAGCCATGTGCTTTAATTTGGGAGAGTGTGGTCCAAGAATTAGTTTTGTTTCATAGGTCAGAGCAGATACACACATCCCATACCTTGCACTTTGTTCTTGAGTTTTTAGCTTTGGAACAGCCAGGGCGGTTTTTAAAAGGTTTAGCGAGCACTAAATTGTAGGAGCTCAAGTTTCTATTTTTCAGTTGAAACTTCTTCAACTTTTAACGCTGATGAGAGGTCCATTTATTGCACAGAAAAGTTTAAATCTGAGCATCGGAACTGGGTGAACATCTGCTGAGGAGGTTGTGTAATATGATAGAAAGCTCCTGAAAGGCTGCTGAATTGACCTTGTGTTCAAATTGTTTGTTCAGCAGAGTATTTTGGTTTTGCAGGAGCTGCAGGTACAGTGTGTTGTTTTGTGACTTTGCGAACTTTAAACTGTAGCGCCGATTTTGATATTCAACAGCATATAGCGTGTCCACTCCAGTAACACTCTGTGCTCAATATTTATTTAATCTCGAGCAACACAGTAAAATTCCAGCATCCTGCTATAATTGAAATGTCCCTGTTCCTTTGGTAGTTTTGTGCCCGGTGTAAAAATAATTTCCTCTCTATTTGGTGAGCCATTTTCTTCAAGTGCCACTGCAGTTGGCACAACACACACATGTGCTTAATCACCAAACCACTCTGCTCCAATTTATATTCTTCCTCACCCAGCCATTTAGTGCATGGTACACTATGCCTATGTGAACAGAAATAGCAGCGATTGTGTGCACATGGCTTAGCACTTAACGCTGGTCTTTCGCCGTTAAACCAGAGCCCGGCGTCATCAATAGACTCACAAGCATCTGCTGTGCTGTAGGCCGGACTGTATGTTTAGCCGGATAATGATTTTGGATTGACTGTATACCCTCTGTCTGTGGTGAGCCATAAGTGGGCCTTCCTACCTACCCCTCAAGCCTTCTCTCCTTAGCCTCTCATGCAATGTCACCTCAAGGATATTATTAGATAGGATTTGTGGTTTGACATATAAAGTGGAGGCTGGACAGGATTTTTTACCCTGTTGTGTGTTGATCTCTCTCAGCTGACGGAGAAAGCTTTATACAGAGTCGTAGAAATCCTCTTCATTTCTCTCAGATTAAACCATTGACCACTCAGCCTGAGCCCATCGACCGCCACGCTGTCCTGCAAGCCCTCCTCACCACTCCATGCACCGTCGGGCATCTTTTATGTCTGCCTTTGTCGAGGAAACACAGAGGTCTGTCTGTGTTTAGTCACTGTATGGCTCATAATTCTATCTTCACGCTAAGGAGGCGTGAGCAGGCATTAAGCTCTTCTTATGATAATCAGCAAAGCCTTTGGTTTGGCTTGAGTGGCATCTTTAGAGTGATGCGTGTGTATCACATGCACAGAGGCACATACAGTATGTGTGTTCATTACTTCAATGAAGTGGATCTCTCCCAGCTCTAATGTATACCCTAATATGTTCACCCTTGTCTGATTGCAGTAAGGTCGTCTCATTTAGCTCTCCACTATTTCAAAGAGTATAAGTGGAAATTCTCATGAGAGTACCGCAGAGGCAAGGCAAATCACCTCTCGAGGAAAAACTTTAGAAAAGATTTCACTTTTAAAGGACACTCAAGACCTGCAATTCTTTAGAGTTAATAAGAGTTAATTAAACTCATAAACACTTAGTGCTATTGATTTAAACACTTGAATTCACTTTTTACTGCGTGGTGTCGCCAGTCCCTGGCCTTTATAATGCATTACTTAGTCAGAAAATCATTTACCACTCACAATACTTTTTTAAAAAAACTCCAGGTTGCTTGTGTGACTTTGACTTAACAGTGCCAATGCCAATCAAGTCCTATTCATCTAAAACTATAAACCCACACGAGCAATTAGCACATTGATTTAGAGAAGCAAATTAATTTCTGAGGGAAGTGAATCATATCAATCAAACATTAGAATTACTTCTTATGACAGAGCCGTTGGAGTTAATGACCTCTGCAGATCAGTGTGAAACTTTAAAATGAATCTATCACTTGAAAATTTGTTAGCAGCTGCCATAACGAAGCATAAAATCAGTCCTGAGGTGACTCTGCTTTTTATGATATTACCCTGAGACCATCTTGTGTTCAACAGATAAGTTACCAGAGCATTGAGTCGTCTGATCCTGGCATCAATGTCCCGGGACCCAGGAGGACTGTGTCCAAGCTGAAGAATGAGACATACCACATGTTCTCCAACCTCCACCCGGGAACAACTTACCTCATCTCCGTCCGAGCCCGCACAGTCAAGGGCTTTGGGCAGACTGCCCTCACTGAAATCACCACTAACATCTCAGGTATTACCACCAATGACTGACTGAGAATGTGTGCTTGTGTGGGAGTGTGAAAGCTGCCGTAAAATTGTAAAATAGAAACAGAAACAGGCAGCACTCCATGTAGAGGCTGTGCCATCACTGCCTATCACTGATGCACCACGCAGGTACAACGATAGACTTCACCCACTGCGTGCTATAATTAGGATCCGGGTTTTCTCTCTTTTGACCTCGGCGTCTTTCTTCTTTCGCAAGCAAAACCACTGCTCCCTGAGTGTAAGATCTATTTTCCATCGCCTCTCCAAACTAGTGACACACACTGTCATCTCACAGTCCTCAAGACATAAATTAACTTGTAGGAAGCAGAGAAACACCACAGAGGGGACACTGCTGTATGTTATGTATAAAGAAAGATGCAGTACATTCTTGGGACCAGGATGTCATTTCTGAGAGTCTCAGAGCTTATTACTGCTGATAGAAATCCAGCCTTGGTGTTTCTGTTTCCTCTTAATGATGCATTTGCGCTTGTTAAGGGATGGGATTACACCTCTTAGGAACGCACAGCGCGGCCACTCCCACCCTGTTTTGCTCACACATTCCCTCACCTCCTCTGCCCCTATCTCTTTACAGAGAGGCCTGGTTTGTTTAATTATAGATTTAGTGCACAATCACTGCTTACTGGCTGTATGTTAGACAGAGCGTTGGCGCAAAGCCAGACCGCAGATAGAGTCCAAAAGTCTTTGCACATCATGCTCAACCTCCTCCACTGGCCCACGGTGCAGAACATTCACTTACACTGAGCGTCTCTCAAATCTGCACTGACAGCCAGCAAACACTGAACACCTTCAACAGCTACTACTGTCAGCATCTTCAAGCAGTATCCACCGCAGAGTATCCAGCTACACACATTTCCTCGTTCGCGCACGTACATGCGGACGTGTGCGCCGCCATGGCTGATACACAATCATCCTTCAAACAGACTCTATCTGGCAGGAGGCATCAAACCTTCTTTTAGTTCTACAAACCGCAGCAGACCTTTAATGTCAACAAATGCACATTCAGTTTCCCTTAATGCCTCACCTTAATTGATGTCAGCTCTTTTCTGCTGCGGTATTAGCAAACCACTTTTTAATATGATAATCATTGATTCCTCGTGAATAGTTTGCTCTCCTTCCCCACACTAATTGACTACTGATATTAAAGAGAAATGTGCCGCCACATCTCCGGGGAGGAGCACGGCTTGAGCCAAATCCTTTCAAATGAGAAACCCATTCAATTTAGCGTCACTCCCATAACTTTTAATTGGACTTGTATGCGAGACAACTAGAAGAGTATTTAAAACAGTGTGCTGAGTATGAGGATATGGCTGTTGGGTATATTAGCACTGTGAATGGCTGGCTCTGTAAGGTCTGTCAGTTTCACAAGACACTGAGAGGCTGAACATGTTTATATAGAAGCAGAGTCTGTGGTTAAACTGAATTAAGCTGGTCTAAGGCCTTGTTCAAACTGTCAGCCCCAGTCTCTTATTTGCCTTATCCAGATTGTATCCAGACTGATTTTAAGGAAGTCCGCACAGCGGATATGAGATTTTTATAAATCGAAACCAAACCACATTTAGAGGTAGCTCTAAGAGGAGCATCTAGAGGAAGCTCTGCCTGCTCAGATTTGAAAGTGTCTCTTGCGTTATTCGCACTGCGACGCACAACATTAAATCCAGAGTGACTGAAGTGCTGAGCAGAATCCATGCTACGTGGGACAACATGGGTAACAATTGTACGTGGCAACATGACGTAACAGCGCAGTTTGGAGGGTAAAATGATGGACCTTTTTTCACAAGCTCCTGCATGGGAAAGCCGTGTCAGCAGCGTCGCTACGTAGTAACTGATCCCAGCAGACAATTTATTTTGGCGTCTGTCCACAGACTGTTTTTCATCATGCTGTCCCCTATAGTGCTCTGCTAGTAGCAGCATAGATTCTGCTCAGCACTTCCATTACTTGGAGTTTGGCATCATCATTGGTTGTGTTCAAAATGTGACAGGAAGTCACTTTGAAATCCAATTTGAGCAGACAGAGCGTCCAGACAGTGGGTGCTTTCAGACCTAGATTTTGCTTGCTTTGGTCTGAATCAGGGACTAATTTTGTTACAAAGTTGCATAGTTGCCTAGAGTTGGTTTATGTTCTCACGGCAGCATTTACAAGTGGACCAGATAAAATGCCTTGCTCGAGAAAGCTGCTCTTGATTGGTCTGACAACACTTTCTAGTGTCACAATGGAGGGACAACTACACAGGTTGATGTTAGCGCTGGTCATCACACCAGAGTTGGTTTGTAACCAGACTGAGACCACCTCTTCAAGAAAGTCTCTGTCAGGTTGTTTTGATGCACACCTGAGTGCAATTGCCGTGTTGACACCTGCCCAAACCAACTACACTTAGGGGGGCAAACGAATCTGAGTTCAACTGAACCGAACCAAAAGGGGCAGGTATGAACGCACCCTGAGATGCATCTGTAGAAATCTGATTGGAATCTGATTCAGACCACCTCCAAATGTGGTTTGAATCAGATTTGTAAATCCACAAAAATCACATTTCATATGTTCTTTTCACTGTCCTGACTTTTGTTTTTAAATCAATATGCATATGCCAAAAAACAGATTTAGGCTGCCTGTCTGAACAAAGCCATAAAGATCTGATGTGATACACAAATCTGATTTTCCTGCAGTCTGATCGTAGCCTAAATGGATACTGGCTAAAGCAGTTTGCGTGTTTGTGTGTATGGACGTGTAAAGTTAGTGTGTTTCTGCATCCTCAGCTCCCACATTTGATTACGGAGACATGCCGTCCCCCCTAAGTGAGACAGAGAGCACCATTACTGTTCTGCTGCGCCCAGCCCAAGGCAGAGGAGCACCTGTTAGGTGAGGAAATCATCTCAAATGTGCATCCATCTTTTTGTTGTACTAAACACAGCTTATTAAAGTTGCACATTCACTCTGTGTCCAGTACATACCAGGTGGTGGTTGAAGAGGAGACAGTGAAAAAAGTAAAGCGGGAGCTGGGGCTTCAAGAGTGTTTCCCGCTGCCCATGTCCCATGGTGAGGCACAGGCCCGGGGCACGCCACACTACTACACAGCGGAGCTGCCACCCAGCAGCCTCCCGGAGGCCAGTCCCTTCACTGTTGGCGACAATCACACTTACAACGGCTACTGGAACAGCCCTTTGGACCCACGCAAAAGCTACCTTGTCTACTTCCAGGCTATGAGCAACTTCAGAGGGGTGAGTGGTTGTTAACTCCCACCAGGGGTGCAGCAGATCTGGCAACACTTCATGAGCTAGCTGTAGAGAGTGTGCAGAATAGTGATGAGTGTTGTTAATGAGTATCTGTACTTACTAATGCTATGGTTGACTCTGTAGGACAGTTTGCATTGTCTGGGATCGCAGTCCCTTGAAAGAGTATTTATGCTGTGAATAGGGTTGTTGGATGAAAACATATTGAGCTGGCGGTGTAACTACTTGGAAATTGTGTATGTTTATATCCAAGCGCTTTGATTCTCTGCAAACAAAGCGTGTGTGAAACAGGGAATTACTTGCATGCATTACTTACAGCTAGCAAAGCTGTGATTAGCTGGAATTACTCAGAGTCAACAACGTACATCAGTTCACTTCCCTCAGCTTTTATTTTCCTCGCTTTCCCCATTCTGCCCCAGTCCTTTCTTTTTCGTCCTGTTCCCTCATGTCTTCGTTCAATGCCTCTTTCATTAATGTTCTTACCTACTCCTCTCTTTCTGTATGCACCCAATCAGTTGAGTATCTTTGAAAATGTAAATGTGAATCCCGGCTGAAGACCCTGTTAGTTGAGAGGCAGTATTCTACACTGTTGTGTTCCCATCCATATCACCACTCTTGAGCACACAAAGCCCTCCAGTCTCCAGTCATACCCTGAGGACGCCACATTACCTTTCCAAATTCCATTACAGGAAGAGTTGCTACCTGGGTGAGGCAATTACTTAAGGATAATTGGGCACAGGTGCAGATGATCAGAGGTAGAAAGCTGCTGCTTTAATATTCACAGACTGTGGCAATGGAGCTGAGAAATATTGCCGTAGGTAATGCAGCCTTGTGTGATCATCACCTGGGAGTAAATGCATGCAAACTGGGTTACTGGTCTGTTTGACTTTTCGAGTCCTGTCAGTAGTTACTCTGTGATCACGTCACTTTTTTTTTTTTTTGTTTTTTGTTTTTTGTATCAGGCATGTGGGTATTATAAAGTCCCATGAAGACCAGTAGGATCTTTTTCCAACTCAGTGGAGAAACACACGGAGGTAGTGCAGTGTGAGCACTTCACACAACTAGGCTACTAAGCATGGGATTAGATAGGGGAGGTCTGGCTTTACCGGCGGATGGGATTAGGTTTTGTTTTGCCTGGCAGGGGGCCAGCATCCATGACCCACAATGAGTGGAAACACAGTGCCAAATCACACAGCCAACACTGTCCCCAGTCGTTCAAACACTGCTTCCTTTGCCTGGAAATACAGTAGCAGTCACTGTCAAAATCTGGGCATCAGCCCTGTGATGGTACTACAGCAGTGCAACAATTCCTCTGGAGGGAACAACAGTGTTCAGAGAGGGCAGGAACTTTATTTTCATGGCTGAACAAGATGTTGTATTTAAAAAAAAAAACCCTGATGAAATGAACTCCTGCGTACATGTAATTACCGCCTCTGTTTTATTCAAGGGTCGGTGTTTCAGACATCAGACCTTTGTCGGTGCAAAGCCTTTGTTGTGGGTGGGATGTTTCCTCTTTTTACACACAAGAAGTTTTTCTTTTTAGCTAAAAAGCTTGTGATTTAGCTCAATTCAACCAGATGAGCACAGCCGAGAGCAGCGAGTTGCAGAGCATTTTACCAATCAGCAGCAGGATACAGAAGACATGTCGCAGCAGGGCTATGACAACATGAGCTGTCACATGAGAAAGGGCTAATTACATAAAGCAAGATAACATAGAAGAGCATTACATAGCAGACCAACAAATAATACAGTATGACACTGATGCCTTCTTTGCCTGATATTATTAACATTACAGAGTTACGTCCGTGAGAGCGTCTATTAAAACCACAGATGTTAAGCTCTGGCTTGTGCAGCCTGTATGGACTGGGATGTTGCGATTGCATAATGTGTTTTGTGCTATTTCGCATCTCCCTTTGTGCTTTGTCTTTCTGCCCAATCTCCGTGTGCAATTATGCATTTCAGGCCTTTTACATTTTAACAGTGTGCTCACTCTGTCACAAAAATGTAGGCCAAAAAAGAGAATTTCAGCATTCTAAATGTGATTTTGTACGGAGGCATGAATGCATTCAGCATATTCATGTACTGTGGGGTATTTTTATAGTAGTTTTTGGATTGTATACAGAATAGGGAAACATAATTACCTTATGCCCACTCATTGTGGAGGATGGAAAAAAAACCCTGTACCTGCTGTTGAACTGTAGCTGGCGCCGAAAGCTGTCACATTTACTTGGATAAAACAAATGTCGATAAGGGTTTCTGAAAGTGGTGATGAAGTTGTCATATTTGGCAATCATTTAAGGCATTTGCACCCCGAAGACCTTATTAAAATCTGAACTTAATTGCCAGCCTACTTATTCTATCATTTAATTGTGCAGTGCAATTAATCAGGGTGTCTGTGGTCTGCTTAAGTTTGTGTTTGTCTGTTTGTTGAGGGGAAACATTGCACCTAATCCACTGCAACAGCAGCAGCAGTGGGAATAGTTTGAACAGTATATGGGACATAATATTTGGCATTTACCCATGCTAATTATCTGGAGAGTGACTGTCAAGCCTCTCTAATTGCTTTGATTGATTCATCTAAAGAGGTGCTTGAAAGACTGTGGATACAGACTGTAGCTTTTGCAGGCCAAAGCAGAGTCATTTATAACATCTATCTCCAGACTTCACACGCACAAGCACACACACTGTAGAACCTTGCGTGTGTGCTGTGGTGCCCCTTGTTGCACGTTGGCATTTGTATTTTGTATTTAGAGCTGCCAGGAACCACCAGCCCCTCTGGCGTGGCTGGCACAGCACGGCCAGACGTGTGATGTGTGTCCCACAATCTGGAGCTGGCCTATTAACTCTTCTGCTGAGCCTGCACACGATTCAGATGTGCATGTTACACAAATGTGCATCTATCTGTCACAACAGCCTCTTTTTTTTTCTTTTTTTTACCGTAAATAGATGTAAACATGCTCTGTCTTAATTTGCCAGAGCTTGTAGTGATTGAATGTAAGGTTTCATCTCCATATAGGAGGCAGGTTCAGATGATTCAGCCTTTTTCGATGGAAAATGTTTCCCGTAATTGAGTCAGCCCTTCAAAAGCTCAAAGTCACCAGTCAGCATTTCTGGAGACACATACAGTATAAATGCACATTCAAGCAATATTAACTAATGATTATTAATTAAAACAAACAGATAATCAGTTGCCTTTGACATAAATTGTATTAGGCTGCAGAGCACCAATAAAAATTAAGTCATGCAAATAGCAACATGACTTAAAGTGCTACTTTTCATCGACCTTCAAAATGTATTACAACAGACATGTCTGCCACAATATTAGAACACAGAGTTGTATTTCTTTATACAGCTGTTAGATTTAATAAAAAAGAAACATATTTGACAAGGACTTGGAACAAATTTTAATTGTGGTTTATGATCAAATACCTTGAAAATGTACTAGGCCTATCTTTCCATCAATCTCAGCTGCACAAGGTTACTTTTTAGTGCTGATATCAAATATTGGCATGTTAACATACTTTAGCACACTGACGTTAGCTTTCAGCTCAGTGCATGGCTGTGTCTGATGAGCCTCTGCTTCTTGTGGTGAGTCCCATGATAACACTTTACAGTACAATACGCAAAATGTGAGTAGTTACTAAGGATCAAGTATGGAACAAATCAAGACCAACCTGATAGCTCCTATAAAGTCTCATTTGAGGACTATATAGTAAATAATTATGAACTAATAGAGGATAGACTTTGAGATAATGTGTTTATGAATCATTAGTTAATAATTAGTTACAATAGCCCCGTTTCCACCAAACACTTTCGGTATGGTACCTTTGGAACCAAAAGTAACCCTTCAGACATGGTACCTAGACCCAAATGTGACTATCGCAAACAGTACTCTTATATGCGATCGGGGCTGTTGTCATTCACTGCTCCGTCCAGCACTCACTGTATTTCCTCATTACTGGTGACACAGATGGAAGTCTGTACCTTGTTTATTGTCCACAGGACAGGGTTGCACATTTTCAGAACAAAATAGAACAGGCTGCAGTGAGTCTCTCACGATGAGATATTTAAAAATAACAGGTTTGTGCTTTAGTCCTTCTCAGGAATGCTCGGGGGTTTAGTGTTGCCAGAGCCCACAGGAACAACGCTCCACAATGCTTTTTTTTTTGCTCCGATTGAGGATTAGAATATATGCAGCTCACATAACCCAGTCGAAATTAATATATAAAAACGCCTGAGGATCCACTCATTACTACAAGTGTATGTCAGGGGCGTCGGTGGCTTAGTGGATAGAGCAGGTGTCCCATGTACAAGGCTGTTGCCGCAGTGGCCCGGGTTCGGCTCCAAGAAAAAAAAAAAAAAAAAAAAAAAAGAAAGTGTATGTCATATAAAAACTAAAGTGATGGTCAAAGTTGTCACATTGCAATTTAAGGTGTGTTGAATGGAGTCACGTCATCGACTAATGCATTGAGTAACATTACAAATTAACATTCCACCTTAAAAGTCGCTGGCAGTCGGCCCAGTGAATTGAGTTTTGTTTTTTTTTTCCAACTACAGCTGCTGCAATACAGTCTAAAAATCTCTCCACAGTATGAACAGTGGTAACATGAGCCTCAAAACCAGCCACAACTCAGCCCCGAGCAGAGTGACCGTCCACTACTGACCAATCAACAGACTGCAGTGTTCACAGCTCCACCTTTTAGTACCAGATCTGTGTGCTAGGTACCCCAACAGAGGGGATGGTATGGAACAGTTCCATTTGTACCATCCACAACTTTTCATAGTGGAGACGGGGAAAAAAGCGTATCAAACTGGACTGTACCGTACCACTCGTTGGAAACGAGGCCTATGAATCAGTCACTGAGTGGCTCAAAACTAACGCCGTAGTGGGGGAATTCACAATAAGTTCTTCAATAAAAATAACATAGATGGCAGAATTCTCAAAAAAAAAAAACTTTTTACTTGTCATAGTCAGACCACATATATATAATTATTTAGATCCATGTCATATTCTATAGCATTAGTAATGCTTACAAATGTCACAAACACGGTCTTTCCAGTTTAAATAAGCCTAAAGATTTGACCATGTGGAGAAGCATTAACTCCAAACTACTTTCAAAAAGTGTCTTGCGTTTTAACTATTGTCAGTGTCTTCCTTTCATTGTCCAGCAAAATTAATAAAAAGCCTGTAAGAAAATTGGGACTCGAAGAGAAATTTAGAGGAATCAAAGACAGTAGTTTTTCAATAAAAGGCAACGCACTGAAGAAATTTGACCATCATGTACTGTAAATTAAATGTTTCTTTTTGATGATGCCATATGCAGGTATACAGAAGCCTGCCTACTTCCCTTTATTTGTCTTTTCAGTCTCGCAGTAAATAAAAGAGGTCTTAAATTGCATTTGCTAATGGTAAACACACATCCTGTCTTTGTCTGAATCTTATGGAAATGAAATGACCGTCTGACAGACAGCACGTTTGTCTCCAATTTGAGTCTGTATTTTCAGATCAAACCATCGTGTTAAGAACTTGTTCAAGTGTCTGTCAGCTTTAAATGGATTTCCAATGTAAAAAAAAAAAGCAATTTAACTGGAGTTTGAGGAAAGCACTTTTTGCTCATTTCCGGATGGCCAAATTTGCATAATTGTCCTATAATGCCTGAATTAGCATCTGTAAATCTTAATTTGATAATGCATCTCCTCCAAGAGGTGGCAGGATGGAATTGGATTACAGTCTTGGATCTCATTAGTGCTGTTTGACAAAGGTCCTTTTCATAATACTGAGATGTCATCAGCTGAAATTTGAATAAAATTAATTCCTTTTCATAGTGGTGCACTGGTCTGAATCCCTCCTCTTAATTATGCTCTCTCCCTTTCAACTCTCATATTTTCTCCTTCAGCAAGAATCTCTAATCTCCTTCTCTAACACTTCACTGCAGCGCTCAGATTTGAGACGTTTTGTAATCTCGTGTCATCAATAGGACTCCTCACTCAGAGGTAATTTGTCCTTTTAGTCTGAATCATTTTTCCTGTAGTTTATCTGTGTCTCCATCGTAAAGTAGATTATGCTTTTTTAGTGAAGAAAATTGCAACCCACTCATGTTCAGTCACTTGAATATTTAATTAGAGGGTAGACACAGCAGAGAGGGGAGAAAGCACCGTGGATCCAGATGTGGTCTCACCTGTTTACTGTGTAACATCATGTTTTTTAATGTTCATTCAGGGTGTGTTTTTATCTCCTGTGGTCACATTTTCAACGTGATATATCTGTGTGTGTCTCAGCTCAGTATTTCACGTCATCCTCTTTCCTTTTATCGCATCTCTTTTATGCAAAATGCGACGCGGCACCCTCCCCTCTGATGTTTTCTTTCTCTTTCAGGAATCCAGAATAAACTGCATCCGCATCGCTCGCAAAGGTAATTCAACATGAATATTTCTCCTCCCACAAACACTGTGACCTTGAATGAATTCGCCTGCACTGTTTCTGAGTGCTTTGCGATGTCGTCTACTCTCCTGTTGCTCTGAGATAAAAAAAATTAAGAATGTCATGTTGTGAATGTCAGTCTTGTTCAGTTTAGTCCATACTGCGTTGTTATTCTGCTCTTTTTGCAAGTACAAAGGTTGGGGATGTGGACAAATTTTGTCTGACTGGTCCTGGTTGTTTAGCAGTGGGCCTCTGAGAAAAGGGCAACAAGCAGGGAGGGATTAGAGGTCAGGCTTTCATCCTGTTTGTTTGGGGGTAGACGCTGAGACACACTATATCAAAGGCAGTCTCTTTGTTCTCATCAGCAGCCCACTAGACGGCTACATCTGAGGGCTTTGACCTCAACGAGGTCCAGAAGGGTCCTCCAGATCAAAACTTCCAGATGGAGCCACCTTGGCCCTATCAGTATGAGAAAGCTCTGCCCCCACCCCTCCTCTTCTGTACCTCAGCTTTTGGATTCAAAGGGACATGAAAAGGGCAGGGAAATTGACTCTAAGTCCTGATGGCAGGAGAGCCCCTCTTGCGGTAGTAGATCATGGCGAATAAAAGTCATGTATTTATAGTTATCATCGCACCGCAACAGTAAGCAGAGCCTTGCAAGTAAATTGTCTTGGCGGGGTGTCTTTTTTTGGTGAAGGCCTCTTTTGTGAGTGAAAAACGAAAGAGATGAGACTCTCCTCAAGCATAAAGCCAAAAGGCAAGGCCAGCCATTTCGGCTCAGCGTCTCACTCCATCTGCCCCACACAGACACCCGGTTGAGCATTGATTAATTATGCTTTCTCACACCAATGGGCTGTACCGTGCTCTTGCCTCCTTTCTTTGAAACCAAGCAAAGAGAAAGAAATGCAGTTAAAGTAATAAGCAAGCAGAATATTAACAATAGAATAAAAATAGAAAGATCAGGAGGAGAAAAAAAAGAAAAGTGCAAGATGGAAAGTAATGATTTAAAAGATTGCCAGCATTACATCACCCACGTACCTGATGAAGAAGGGCAAATTGATAGGAAAAAAATTTTCAGGGTGATTTCCAATTTCAAGGTGCGACAGGTCAGAGGTTTTTTCAGTTGCTGTTTGTGATCTCCGTGATCCGTCTACCATTAACATAGCCTCTGCATCATCAGGTCCTAAGCCGTTATTATCAAGCAGCCCATCACAAGCAAAGTGGAGGCAAATGATTCTGGCTTGGATAACAAAGCTGGAGATTACATTTCAACTTCCAGGTGACAGTTTAATTAAGGATCCTCTGGCAGGCTCAGCACAACAATAGACTTCCATTTCTCCTCTAAGTGCCAATTTCCACCATCGGGCAGCTGGCAGGTGCACGGATTCATGTGGAAATCTATTTCATGCTCGTGTTTGGCTTAATAGAAATTTCGAGGCTAAATGTGGCAAAACCGCCTTATCTGTCCAAAATGTCAGAAAACTGAAATTGATTTTTCACCTCCTCATCTACATTTCCACCCAATATAACATACCCTTGTATTTCACTTGTACGTGTAATTTTAAATGAAGTCACAGGATAAAATAAACAGCAGATGCCAAGTTTTTTTTTTGAAGGGAGCACCTTGAGACGAGCTGAAATCTGTTATCTTCAGTCACAGTAGCTCACAGGAGCTCACAGTCGTACAGGCGTCTTTGGATGATGGCGTGTCCCTGTGCGTGAATAGAAACTACAAAAAAAAAATCATCTTTGATTTGGTCTCACTAAACTGTCTCCTACCACTCCTGCAAAGTAAACTATACTTGTTAGATGCGCGTCCATACACTGAACAGCACACACGGAAATGTCACATTTCTTGGCACACGTTACTTAGAGGTAGCAATTTAAAAAGCCTGAGCTGTTTTAGAAGGAACACTTCCTTTGTCATATAAAGCCAATGACTCATTTTCTCCATTCAGATATGCCAAACACCCATCATTGGTTCAAAAATCCTGCCAAATAATGAAATGATATTGAGCTACTTTCATCTTTGGTGTGATGGTTTTAAAGCACCCTGGAAAGTGCCCACGGCTGCAGATAGTCGGGCTAAAACATGGCTCTGTTTTCATTTTCCCTGCCCCAGATCTGATTCTTCCCCAGCAGGCTGCAAGATAGAGCTCTGTCCCCGGGCCTGCTCTGACTTTCTCTCGCTCTCCAGATAGGTTGTGCTGTTCCAATAGACTGAGAGGGGCTAGTTCCGGGGCTGTCAAGGCCTGGAGGACAGACTGACACACACAAGAAAAACTAGATCAGTGGGCCCCTAGAACAAGACAAAGAAAGGCCCACTGCTCAGCACCATTTACATAAGTATGAAGCTTTATGCCAGAGAAATGAATAACCCACTATTATGATAACGACCTTTCCAGTAGCTCACAGACACTGGGGCACCTTGAGATTATACTGTAAGGCTGTGTGGATGACTTGTGACTGGGAAAAATATAGTATTTAATTCAACATTGAATAGAAATGCGCCTCAAAGGTTTAGTGCATGTACCATAGCATAGAAATGTGCAATTGTAATATCACAAGGTGTCAGTTGATTGTTGCAGTGTCATTGTACAACTGAACAATGGATTGAAGAACAATGTGCTGCAAGCCTTTTTTTGTACATGACTAATGGATCTTAGCAAATGAGTTTCCTGCCTTACACTGACATATTTCTTCTTCTGCACCAATTTATAGCGGTCTGTTTATTCTCTCCTCTCCGTTCCTTCTCTGTAAACATCAATATAAATCTCTGTAGCAGGTTGAAAAAACTTACTTTGCAAGCCAATCATTTTGCTTGTCAAAGCATAAGTTGTCATTATGTATGTCTGAGGATTGCAGGTTTGTTGGGTTGGACAACGCGGACAATTGCTGTCTGCTCTGCTTAAGGCGTCACTTCTTTATTCACGTCTCTTTCATCTCTACCAGCTATTTGAAAATACCACCGTTATTGAAATATAGCGTTGGCTTTAAGAAGCCCATTATAATTCAGTGGATCTCCTCACGGTAGTCAAGATAAGCAGTGTGAGCGTCTGTAGTGTTATGTGAAAAGTCTACACTTGTGAGGAGGTTTTTTTTGTGCATGAATGATAAGTTCTTCAAGCTGTGAATTTTCAATTTCACCATCTCTACATTCAAGTTTTCACACTCTTTGCTTTGGAACTTTGCTGTGAATGCTTTCTTCTGCACCTTCGACCTTGTTCTTTTATGTCCTGTATTTGCATTGTGCCTTTTTCCTACACGCGTCTGTGTCTCTGCTTCTAGCGGCCTGCAAGGATCACCGCAAGGCTCTGGAGGTGTCTCAGCACTCTGAGGAGATGGGTCTGATTCTCGGGGTGTGTGCTGGAGGTCTGGTGGTCCTCATCCTTCTGCTGGGTGCCGTCATCATCATCATTAAGAAAGGGTAAACGTCTGCTGATAACTGTTGAGCGCATAACATGCCTCATTATGCACAATCGCGCCTCATCTCCCACATTGTTTTACCCTTTATGTTTTGTTTTGGAACAGTTCAGTAATCAGTTTTTATACTTGCTGAACTTTCGAAAAGGTCATGCTTGTTTAGGGAAGATGCTGGACCAACAGCCAGAGCTGCATTGTTTTCATTCCCTTATGGTGCACCGGAGGGACCAAACAACTCTCATCTGCGGAGCCTATCTGAGTGTGAAGTATCTAATTAAAGGCGGATGCAATTCAATTAGCCACTTAATTACGCACACCAAGCAGAGGCCTGACCCTTAAATGAGATGGTAATTGGGAGGGAAAAGGTGTGCTTTTAGAGATTATTAGCCAACGATCCCACAGGTCTACAGTACATCATTTACACCTCTGCCTCTGAATGTATATAACAGCAGCTGTAGGACAGCCTGAGTTGAGATCTCAAGTAAGGCTTAACCTGCCGCACTAAAATAAGATAGATTGAAATCTAAAGAACCTGCCATGCCAAATGGGAAGTTACTCAGGGCTCCAGCAATCATTATTAAATGGCTGACACAGCGTCCGGGCTAATATTGAATAATGTTGATTCTGAAAGTCACCACTGCTCTGCACATTAGCCCGGGTTCCTCAGCTAAGCCACCATGAAGCTCGCTCTTAGAGAATTGATTGCTAAATTTGCTGTGACAGGAAGTCATGTGGTCTAGTCCATGAAGTTTAACAACGAGACGTATTCAATAGGAGGGAAACGCACGTTTTTCTGCCTCGCTGTAGTTTGGTCTGTCAGCACCTGCTTGGTACGTTCGCATGTGTCATATGGCCGCCTGCGCTCACCGGAGGATCATGGATCTCATTTTCACTGTAATCAATGCATTCTGCCCTCAGCTGACATTGCTTTCATCTTACATCTCTTCTTTCTCTTGATTTTTTTTGTCTCCTTCTCCTGCACTCTTGCCAGAAGGGACTACTACTCTTACTATCCGTAAGTGACTCCACCTCTTTGCTTTTCCATCATTTTGTGATCCATCAAATACATGCTTGTGCTCTGGCTGTCAATCATAAGCTGTAGTCACAAACAAAACACTTAATCACTTTATTTTCTCTGTTTCTCTTAATCTTACCTCCGTATTATTCCTCACTAAAAGTAACGCCTCCTTTTTCTCCCTCTCCCTGTCTCTATCTGTCTTTTACAATCTCTCCCCCTCCTCCTTCTTTGTCCATGAATAGGAAACCAGTTAACATGAATAAGACACCCATTACCTACCGGCAGGAGAAGAGCCATATGGGCTCCATGGAGCGCAGTTTCACAGACCAGAGCACCCTGCAGGAGGATGAAAGAATGGCCCTTTCCTTCATGGATGCGCACACCTGCGGCACACGCAGTAAGACCAAAGACACACACAGTTCAGTGTCGACTAACCTTCCACAACTACACAATGCAATTTCAAACTTGACATACATCATCCCTCACTTTGTAATCTTGTTGACCGCCACTCATTCACTCCATAAATGTCTGAATCTTTCTGAAAGATACTTATCATCCTGTGTGAAAAATGTTCTTTGGTACAACTTACCCTCAGCTATTCACTGCCGGCAGCTGATACACACACACGCAAAAGAAACAGAGAATTGCCAAGTGAAGTAACATCTTTGAATGAGTCGAAAGAATTTGATTTGTGATACTTGTCACTGTTTTTCATCTTGATCTCCTTTCTAATATTGTCAGTCTCACAGAGAGGAAACAACAGATGTGTTTACTTTAAAGTTAGTGCAGATCTTGGTCTGCTTCACACGTCATCCAAGACAGAGCAGCTGTCACGTCTATGTAATATCTATTATGAAGACATCTTTGCTCTGACAAAGCTTATCACAGTGACACACCTGTATCATATACTGTGCTGTATGTGTCAGTGTCAGCACACACTGTGCCATTACGTGACAGTAACATCAGAGTGTATCATCCCACACCAAAGGTGTTCAAAAACTTGTTAAATGTTTTATATAGTAATATGTCTTGGACATGAATTTTTCAGCCTGCTGAAATTGCAAATGTGCCTGGTGCAGGTGATGCTCGCAGTTCAGTGAACGAGGCCAGCAGCCTGCTGGGAGGCTCCCCGAGGCACCAGTGTGGACGTAAAGGCTCACCGTACCACACAGGGCAGCTCCACCCCGCCGTCCGGGTGGCTGACCTTCTCCAGCACATCAACCAGATGAAGACTGCCGAGGGCTACGGCTTTAAACAGGAGTACGAGGTGAGAAGCCACTAGTACGCTCCTCTCTTACACAGCAAAAGACAACGTAAAGCGTAAAGTCACTAGTGCAGCAGTGTCTAAAGTACAGTGTCTGTATTTACACTGTGATCGTGATTGAATTCATTAGATATAAGACCTTCACTGTAAATTCAACAACAAGAGCTTAATTGGTTAATTCATTCCTAACATACAGCGAATGAAATAACTAGAGGCAAGAATACTCAAGCTGCAGTGATATCCATAATCCAATGCCACAGTTGGAGGCTTTCTTACCTTTACTTTAATTTTCATGCTGAAAATGAGAAAGTCGTCTCGTGATGTTTATGTAACTAGTTATTTGTTTCGGCACCGAGGTTGTCACTGATGTTATGGCATCTGAGTTCCCATGGGAGGAGAAATGTTCCCAGCATGGTGTCTCCCCCTTCCTTTGAGGAGCGTTTTCTATAGTGTTCTGTGAAGTATCCGTGGAAACACGAGTGTCACGCTGAAAGTGTTTGTGGCAGAAGCACCTTAGAGGAGTGGAACAATAAGTGTCATTGAAAAAGAGTCAAAGACATTAACACATAAAGCAGCTCCGCCTGCTTTTCTCAATGATGCGCAAGGTCACCATCTTCACTGAAACTGCCGGTTATTGTATATGAATAATAGGTGCTTCATTGTTAAGCTGAGAGGGTGTTGTTAAAACCCCCTTAGCTGTTCTAAAATCACTGTAAAACACAGCCTCTTGTGGCTTATTGCTTTTCTAAAAGACACATTGGAAAGTGTTGGCTGCTTTACAAATCTGTGGCAATGTGGAGACAAAGGAGTTTACCCCAATGATCTCTAGTTTGAAGAATAAAAGTTGTCATCACGATGCAGTCACATTATAGCCACGTATGTATCTGCCATTGGCAACTATTATGTTCACTTTCCTCCAACTGTTGTCCAGCGACATGATTTTTTCACAGCATAGCCTGGTTAGCTAGCAGTTGACAAAATGATAGCACACAAGCTAGCTGAAGTTACCATGTTAACTTACCATAGATTGTTGGTGTGGTTTGTTTGCTTTGGATGGATAAAAGGCTGGTGGATCGGGCGGAAGCAGCAACAGGTATTTCTCCAAAAAGCGACAGGACACAGTGGACTCCCTTGCTGCTCAAACATAAATCTGGATAATGGCGGATTATGAACGATCCAGGCTTCAGTTGTCGATTTGCCCTCTTTTTTACTAGGCATTGTTGATGAGACCCTCAGGTGTGTTTGGATTCAGTGCCTGAGAGTGCTTGAATTTCTGAAAGTCTGCCTCTGTTAACACTTGGTGGTGGGTTGTTTTGTCACATCCTGTTTTACCACTCCAATAAAAAACTTTGCCAGTGACAAACTCGGGATCTTTCAAAAGACACCAGAATAGGTGGACAGTAGGATCATTGATGTACCTGGCTTTGTTTCTTGACTCTTCCAGCTCCTCAGTCTCTTTCTCTTTTCAGTCAGGACCACTTTAGTCAAAGAAAACTTCCATTTTCAATTTGATATTTGGCCAGTATGGCTCGGTTTTAGGACCTCTCTGCCCTTCCATGTGCCTACGTGGAAAGCTGAAGGCAGAGAGAGCACACGCCCCTGCCCTTCCATGCGCCTACATGGAAGCCTAAGGTAGGGAGAGCAGCAGCAAAGACCCCTCGGTACAGAACAGAGCCAGCATCATGAAAATCAGAAATGTCATTGATAGGTCAGATACAGCATTTAAAAAAGAAGGAGCTGGAGTGGAGGCAGGTTGCAAAGAGGCTTGCAGAGGAAGCAGCAACAGTAGGCAGGCTAAAGCAGTTTAAATAGGGTGCCCTGACTGAAATTTGCCATTTGATTCCATAGAAAGGTATCATTTGATCTATCAGCTGACTCCCTTCCATCAATGAGCTGATCAGGCTGCTTGAAATCAGCTAATATAGCTGGGATGTGAGCTAAGCTTGACACCGTGGCCTGCCTGAACTAATGTAATGCTCAATTAATTTCAGTGCATCCCCTTTGCTTTATATCTTCCTCCTGTCCATCTCTTTCAACCACTTAAACACGCTTAGCCCAACCAGAAAATCAAAATTCACAACATAATCTGACATTTTGAAATGGTTAATTGGTGCAGTGATACTGTTTTAATGCGGTCACAGTTGTGTTTTTATAGAGAATTTTACAATGGCTTCAAACACAGCTCAGCCAATCATAATCAAGGGCCGTAACAATTTGTTTTATAATTACTTATTTAACCTATGTAATCCATAAATCAAGTATTAAACTAATCGGGTCATTCATCCAACCATTTTATAGCAGCTTGACTGCATTAAGATCACAGCAGAAAGTTGTTCTTTGGAGGGTTTTGTAAGTGCTTCCATGTAGCTAGAAGGAGTCACCTCTCTAACATGTCAATCCAGAGGTGTCTTCTTAGTACAGTATGTTGCCAGCTGTTAAACTGCGACACAGGATTTCTGTTACCAGTTGCCAAGAGCTCCTCTCAGTGTTGAAATGCAGCGGCATGACACAAAAGACCCCCAAGTTTGTTGAGCTCCTTGCCCTACTAAGTCCAGCCATCACGTGGAATAAAAACTTATTTTAGCCTCTTGTATCTGTGATCTCATTCTTTCATTTCCTGCTCACAGCTTGTTGCCATAGGGGAGGTTGTAGCAAAGACAAAAGGCAAAGCTGTGCTTTGTGGGTTAGCTCCCTCCTTACCATAAGGTCCGGTACAGTGGCTACACTGATGTACCTCCATGCCTGGTTAACCTGCACACTTCAAGCACAGCAAAGAAAACTGCCAAGTTAAACAGGCTGCTGGTGAAGCAGTTAGAAAAGTGAAAGCATTGCTGTTGATGAAGTTGTGGAAGCCGGGGAATCGCTAAAAGAGATATTGCAACACTTCTTTGTGCCCCAGGGAGCAAGGCAGGTCAGTACTTTTCCTCAACAGGAGTGTTTGACCTTAATTGCCAACAGTGTTAGGAGGTGGAAGGACAATGTTGAGGAACTTCTAAACCTTGTAGACAAACTTTCTGTGCTGCAGGAAGTGCTTTAAGATTCTGGGAGTGTTTGAGCTCGTATACTCGTTAGAGGAAAGTACACTAGTGAGAGGTACCCATGGTGGAACAGACTGATGTCAAGCCCTGCATACAAGAAACAGTGCAGATTCTTTTCTCCTAACCACAATGAAATATCTTGTGGGAGCTACTGCGTGAGTGATTGATCAACTTTCTTATCCCCATGAAAAACTGATTTGCACAGTAGGAACAAAAAAAGAATATAAAAGAACATAGTCCAATCATGACACCCAGTTATGGCGATAGCCAACAGAGTGAGTGTGGAGTGCTGTAAGCCTATGAACTCAAACTCAGAGCTGTGATATGAGTTTTTTCAGGGTGTGGATTGGATTCTGGCATGGATTTTTCTTTTCTCTAACACTGTTTTGAGATATTGCTGCACACATGTCAGGACACAACCAAGTGGTTATGGGTCAGCGCCTGTTGTGATTTTTAGGCTACCATCGCCCACCCAGATAAGCTTTGGAAAAGTGATGAAGTGAAGTTGAGTAGTTAGTCGGGTAGTGGGAGTTAGTCCGTAGTAAGAAGGATCATGTGCAATTATTACATGTTATGGACAACTCTCAGCTTAGAGAGCCCATGTTAGCTGGAATGGGTCTTGCAAGTGTGGTGTGGGAGGCCATCAATCCTCCTCTGACATCATCCGTGGGCGCTCCTCGCCACCCACTGAAATTAATTAGCGGGGTTAAAAAGGCTTCTGGATCACACTGTTGCTGCGCAGATGAATAAATCATCCTCATTTGGGCCCAAAGAAGACCTCTGTCACAACGGCAGGCATGATGAGGTTAAACGTCTCTGGTGATTCTCTATAGCTGCTGAGTCCCCTGTCCACTGCTAACAGATTGTAGGGTAGCAAAGAGAAGAGAGGGGAGTGTGAAGGGGGTGAGTGGAAGGGAAGAAAGATGAAAGGGCAAAGAGGGAGAAAAACGGCAAAGAGAGTTCTTGACTTCCATGCCCTGTCACCACCAAATAACCTCCTCCTAGTAGCAATACTAGTTTTTACGCCCGCTGCAATATATGGTGCAACGTATGCTCTGTAATTTTCAAAGGTAACCATCAGACTATGAGCATAGGACAGTTATGGCCTATAGTTTCTTAACCTTGGGGACCACTAGATGTTGTTTAGGGGGATAGATGTCACACAGCAGAGGTGTGATGATGCTCCACAATGGTCCTGCTCAGATGCTCAAAACCCAATTTCCAATTCCCGTCATCTAGAGGGTGATCGGTCTCACATCCACACTAATATTTAAGGCTGTATGCGACTCCAAATTATGTCAGTCAAATCAGATTTGGCTGTTCAATAGAAATATTTGTCGATTTTTTTTTTTTTTTTCATATAGCGGACATACTACTCTGGCGTTTCCGAACCCCTAAGGTTGAGACTTGTGAACACATTGCAGACCCTGTTTTAGTTTTAAATCTCCAGATGCATTTTAGTTTGGATGGGTGAAAAAAGGGAGACTTAAAAAACTTAACACAATTCGCACACATTCGCTTCAAGCCAAAACATACTTTTTGTGATTTCATCCTTCTTGTGTGGGTACCAGTACTTTTTTACCACTGCCATGGCTTCCTCTGGTGATGTATAATGCTCACAGACAGCTCTAATATGTTGTCACATTTGCTTTGCAGCAACTCCCAGTCTGTGTTTTCTGCCTCCTTGATTGCATTATACTCATAAGTTACTTTCAGAAACAGTTCCACCTTGTTGCTCCAAGCAAAGAATTCTGTGGTTCTCTGTGGTATTGTTTTGTTACCAAGCAACCAACTGCAGAGGAGACAATCTGCTTCCTGTTTACTTAAGCACGTGCATGCCTAGTGTAGGTGAATGGTCATTCATTCATTAATTCATTTTCCGTAACCGTTTATCCTGTTAGGGGTCACGGGAGGGCTGGAGCCTATCCTAGCTGACATTGGCTGAGAGGTGGGGTACACCCTAGACAGGTCGCCAGACTCAGGGGTGTAGTGATAGTTGATGAGGCAGGTGCGCTATTTGATAGATGGGCAGGTTACAGAGAAAGAAGTGGGTATACTCTCCTATATATTCCAATAGCTTTTTGACTGATAGGTGAGTATACTGTAAACAGCCAGAAAACAACACTACACCACTGGCCAGACTGTCTCATGGCGAACATATAGAGACAGACAACCATTCAAGCTTGCACCTATGAGCAGTTTCAGTTAACCTAATCTGCATGTCTTTGGATTGTGGGAGGAAGCCGGAGTACCGTGAGTATATGTATGGACAGAGATACTTTCAGAAGTGGTGCCAAAATGCTCATGTGCAGGAAACGGAGATCATTTTTGTTTTAAAATGCTATTTTGAAATGAAAGCATGTTAGTGTAGATGTAGCCTTAGTGGCTCTGCATTCCTAGGGAGAGGAATTGTATGTTATTATGTTCAAAATCTGCCTTTTAACACCACTGCTGTTTTTTGTAAACGCTTGAGTGTGCTTGGCAGATCACTGTTTGGTTAGTTTCTTTTTTGCACCAACGCACTGTGGGGTTTCTGTCCTGAACTGAACCGTAAGTACAAACATGTTTCTTTGGCAGAGCATTGCTTATCAGCCTCCTGCTCTCTTCTAGCTGTGCGTATCTGGACACATAATGAAGGGCCCAGATCTGGGCGTACCTCTCCCCAGTGGAACGATTGTGGCTGGGAGTCTAGATCACACCCTGGGGAAAAGTCCATCCCTGTCACCCACAGCCCATGGCATTCATAAAAAGAGAAAACATCTTTTGTCTCTGGTTCATGGTTTCCCCCTCTGGAACTCTGCTTGTAGACTCATTAAACTGTCCCTCTCGGGCAAAACACACTCCACTCCAAAAATCAATACACACCTCTTTGTATTTTTTTTCTTCTCTTTGCTCGAGTATGTGTTTTGATAGAGTGTCTCTCTCCATTATGAAGTAAAATGATGAGGAGTATCATATTACACTCCCCCGGCAGGTATAGGTTTTTATTTCCCTGAAGAATACCTATGTTGTGTAAAAACATTGATCAAGAATTTACAGTGAGTTGTAAAGGGGCCTGTATATGTGGCAGCTACTGTCACCGCAGTCATATTCCCACTGAAGAAACTTACGAGCAAACAACAGCAGAGCTTTACTGGGGAACCAAAAACTTTCATTATACCACTCTGTAGCCCGAGGCTGAGGTTAGCGAGGATGATGGACTCATTGATTCAAATTTTAGTTGCACCAGGGTCTACTGAAATACTGCTGTTATTTCAAAAAACAACAGCGACCTCATGCTGCTTTTATGACAGCATGAATCAGGCTTGTTTATTATATATTTTTTGACAAGGATATTCCATTTAGTGTCTCAATTGTGTCATATCTCAGACATCCCTGATTGGATTTTGACTGGATGTGGTGGGATTATGAATCTCATCACCGTTTTTGGCATTATACAAATTATGTGGGTAAAAAAAAAAAAAAATTATAGGTTAAAGCGAGGTGACTGTTATTGAGTCATCCCGAAAATGGAAATCGTGGAGTACAGCGTGTTAGTCGTTGCCTCGTTTTTGAGGGGAAACAAATAATGTACTCTGTGAAATCTAGTGGGATGTTGATAGCAAATCAGAATGTTAAAATTTAGAAAAGTGCTATAAAAGTGTAACAGTGTCAACAGTTCAAGACCGTACTTGACTGTGTCATTATTTCCTTCCTCTCATTTTATATGATCCTCTTAACCAACCCACCCCGCTGATCCCTGCCAATGAGGGTTTCTAATCAATCTTCTATGGGTCTGTGTTGTTTCCCCTTCACTCCTCTCCAGTATACCGCCACTCTCTCAGTGTTTGTCTGTCTGTGTTTTCCCTGTTTCTCTCTCTCCGCTCTGGAGGGCTGAGCAGAGGAGTGGTGGGAGCAGAGATACAAAGACAGCTCAGAGGTCTTGTGTCAGAAATATCAGAGAGGGAGGAAAAGGGAGAGACGTGATGAAGAGAGGAAGAAAACGAGGGATTCAGAGAGAGAGACAGACCATGAGAGAGAGGGAGAGAGAGAGAGCATGGAAAGAGGAAGAGGAAGTGAGGAGGAGGGTGTAATCCCAGGCAGGATTTGGCTGGTTCTTGGCTCTCTGTGGGGAGAACTGCGTTGTAATCCCCTGCTCAGCATGCATACTTGGGCAGAGTTTCACCAAAATTCTCCTAGTGGCTGAAAACCACGGGGGGTAGACTGGTATAGATGTGTGAGTGTGTGTGTGTGTGTGTGTGTGTGTTTTTGTTCATGGGTCTGAAGGGGCTGTTTGCAGACTTAATTTAGCTCCGCAGAGAGTGGACGCTTTCAAGTGGCTTATGACGTCGTGTGAGAGTAAGCGCTCGCCGGTGCATCCATGCAGACAGGTGGATGATAGGGAATGAGGAGATGTATTGCTGAGTATGATGTGTTATAATACAGCTGAGCAGCCATCCACCAAACAGGTGGCAGACAGTTCCTCTGCCTTAACTTTAATTACCAATCATCTCACCATACAGGGATTCATGCACTGTATATAGAAACACTTGGATCAGTACTCATCAGAAATATTTCACATCGTTTTGCAGCACTTTTTAACTTATGTGAGAGGAGGCGGGCATTTGTTACTTTAATTTTTCTGTTCTTATAAGTAGGGTTGGGCAATATATAGATATTATATAGATACTGTGATGAGTTATTGCCTTAGATTTTGGATATGATGAGTAATGTCCACATTACTGATGGTTATTTATCAGAAATCTCATTGTGTAAATATGATGTGAAAGCACCGACTGTCAGTTCTACAATACCATTGCAATATCAATATCAGGGCATTTGGTCGAAAATGACATGATACTTAATTTCCTTTGTAACCCCCAGCCATACTCACATGGCACCGAGGCTCATGCAATTTATAGTGATAATGTTGCAGTTTTACAGCTGGATGTTCTTGTAACCATGGGTCTTTGATTTCAGACAAAGATAGATAAAAACAGGCTTTGGCTCAGAGGTAAAGCAGGTCGTCCACCAATTGGTAGATCGATGGTTTGATCCCCGGCTCCTCCTGTCTGCATGTCGAAGTATCCTTGAGCAACATACTGAAAAACATCCCAAATTGCTCCCTATGATGCTTCCGTCGCTGTGTAAGTGTGTTAAAATGTGAATGTGACTCGTAGTGTGAAAAGCGCTTTGAGTGGTCGGATGACTAGAAGGGTACTATACAAGTGCAGGTCCATTTACTGTTTACCATGTACCTTTGATATTGCCAGCTTGAATAACTACTGTCATTGGCAGATGTGAATAGCTATGGCTAGCTTTCTTGTAAATCTAACATGAGCTCCAGGAGTCGTCTCCAGCTGACTCCTTGTGACCAAAAACCCCATAAAAGCAGTCTATATCGTGCTGAAAGACTGAGGCTAAAGCTACATGTCACAGGCAAAAGGTTAGGTTGTTTTTTCTTTTCTTTTTCCTCTCCTTTTCTTGCTTTTTTGCCGTGACTGTTATGCACCAAAATATCAAAGCACATTTCTTGTATGTGGAAACCTAAATGGCAGTAAACCTGTTTCTGATTCTGATGTTGAGAAATTCAAAGTTTGACTGACATGCCGTGCCTAGTTACGGTCGCTAATCTACGATCGGATAGTGCCTCTTTAGTAAATGTGTGTGTTATGTTATTACCATTATCTCCATTAGCCTCTGCTGTGATGAAATCCAAAACTAGTATTATTTCTGATGGATTTTACATCTCTCATTGATGGCGTACACAAAACTTGAACCCAGTAAGAATATAAGCTTGACGCGCCAGATGGTTTGTTGTTACATACAACTATCTGAGAAGCTGTCATTGGAATCTGTTTGGAAAGGGGCAAGCACCTTTAAAAGATACTTGGCAGGTGATTTGATGAACCATCTGTCTATTACTGTCTATCACAGGCCAGTTGGGAAAAGAGTGGAAATATCTTTTCTATTGAGAAAAGCCTGAAGTGCCGCTCTGAGCTTCTTTTAATGAAGAAACACTCTCCAGTTCCAAAACAACTGATGCTAATGCAGCAACTATGCTTACCTGTTTTGAATGAACAACTACACCCATAGCTGCCAGTAGCTCCTCACAGGATGCCGATAAACACAAATGTATTAGTTGAAGCTCGGTAAGATGGATTTTAATGTGATCTCATGATAGTGCGACAATCAAGCATGCAAGGTAATAGGAATATAGCCACTGGGTTAAAATTTTAGTGGCCCATGGAGCTGACAAGAACCAGTGCAACTGGCGGCCCAGAGGAGGAATAAATTATGCTTGTGTTGTTTAATAACATGTCATGCATAAACCACTAAACCTCTCTGGAGGATACAATGGCTCTTGATCTCCGTGGTCATGCTTGAAGTCTTGATCTGCTTTTATCGTGCTAGTCATAAAAAAACATTTTTCTGAATCACACATTAAACAGAAGGAAAGACGCGGTGAAGCTTTAATTAATGTGTATCTAAGATATTTAAATGGTTAATATATTGAGAGGCCCTGAAATCTGCAAGTGTCTCTTTATCTCTGCAGAGCTTCTTTGATGGCTGGGACTGCACAAAGAAGAAGGACAAAACCAAAGGGAGGCATGACACCTTGTTGGGATGTAAGTCATCAGAAGTCATTTTATCTTGTATGAATAAAAGGTAGTAAAAGTAACAGAAACTATTTGCAGAAACTTTGTATTTCAGCAGCTCTTTACTCTTTTATTCTCATCTGCCTCAGACGACCGCCACAGAGTAAAGCTCCACCCTCTCCTGGGAGACCCCAACTCAGACTACATTAACGCTAACTACATTGATGTAAGTCTAATCCTGTTTTTCTCCCTCTGTTTGACATGGGATACAAATAGTCAGCCTGTGCCGAGTCTCTATCTCTCACACCCTACGAAGCCACAGCCCATCTCTCTCATTCCTATAAGCTCACCAGTCTGCTGGCCCACTTTCACCTGGAAGCTTTCATCCAATCAAACACCCTCCGTAGCAATTTTTTTTTTTTTGCCAGCTGCCATGGTTGTCAATTGCTGCACCGAATCCCTGACCCAGACTGCTTTCGCTTTTATTAAAACAGAGTGGAGTGAATGCATTTAATGCCTCGCAGAGGAGATGAACCTTTCTGTAAGATGCCACAAAATTCCCCTAAATTAAATAGACATGATTGATGTTATTCAATCTCCGGATGGGCCGGGAGGAGATGATCCTTTTCCACCGTTCACCTTAACTGTCTGCCACACATGTAGTGCCACGGTAACATTCTCACTGATCATATGGAATACATGTATATGTTGCTAATGTGTCTCACACAGTCTCATTCATATGTGTTCCCATTCATAAAAACGACAGGAGGCTGTGTTTGCTCAGAAAGCAGAAGTGTGGGTTTAGGTGGCAACGAAAGTTATTAGCAAAGAAGAAAAAAAAGTAACACAGTTTTACGACTTGATGTTCTTGTAGGTAGAGACTTGTATTTTGGTTCCCCTGTGATTTTGCTGTCACGGCTCTCAGGTGTTGCTTTTCATTTGAGTCATGTCAAGGAACGAGGAAGTCTGGCAATCTGATATGATTTCCTTATCTCACAAGATTTATTTTGCCTCTCATTGGGACCACTGTTAAATAAATACAGCACTCAGTGAGAAGTTGAGGCAAGCTGATGTACTCCCAGTGCTGTTTGAGGCTGATAAGAAGTTGAGAAGATTCTGTGTCTGTCAAAATCTTTATAAATAATATATATTAACATGTTTTTTTTCAGTGAGGGAAATTTCCAACTGCATGATTTTAGCTGGATTCTTCCTTTAAGCCAAATTATATCATCAAAAATGTTTGACATTACAAGGCTTTTTTTCCTCTCTTTTATTTCTCTGTAGAGAATGGCCAGTGGTGAGATGCTTTTAGAGAGTTCATTACAATGAGAGGGCATTAAAAACCTGGCCTGCTGTTAGGACTGTAGTTATCGTGAGGGTCTCCATTAGTGTTTAGGGCACAGAGGTGCAGGCATTAGAGGGAAAACACCACTCAGTAGCCACTACAGTGCCGGTGTCAGTGATGTTAGTCCCTGACAAGGCTGACCCGGCAAGCTGGAAGGTAACTACTTAGCCGCGGAGAAGCATATTTTGGACAGCCTGTGATTATTTCACCAGAGGTTAAATGGAAAAGTTTTTCCTCCCTGTGAAATGTTATTGTGCTTTAAAAACAGAGGTGAGAAAGCACAAGCTTTCTGTTTTCTCTTTGCTCTGTCACTTAATACACATGTTTTTGCTTGGCTGTGGTGTGTGTTGCTTGCAGAGGTGCAGAACTTTGCATATGTCTGACAGCTTCCTGCACCTGTTGCAAATGTAGAGCAGTCCAGCGCATCATGGCTGTTGCTGATTTACATATTGTTCTGCTTCTGAAGAGTCTAAGGGTCTGACTGACAGGTGTAGCATGGTCACACAATCAAAAACACACTCTCATGCACACACACACACACACACACACACACACACACACACACACACACACACACACACACAGCCCCATCTCAAAGAAATTAGGTTTTTACAAGGATTATTTGAAACGGCAAATACGTTTGAGGGAAACATAATAGTGTGCAAATTGCGTTTTTCAAATCATCATAACAAGGAAATGTTGCTATTTAAATAACCTGGCAAGTTGTGAAAATGTTAACACTGAACGTATCATCAAATGTTCCAAAATAAGCAATCATGCAATGCACTATCCACTCATAGTGAACACAGTATTTCTTTTATATTATTACTTCTTTTAAATTAACATTTAACTATAATTATGGTCTTTCCCGAACCATAACCGAAGTGCTTTTTTACCTAGACCACAGACAGGAGACTGGATGTGGACCCGGGATTCTGGTGTCACAGTCCTGTGTTATGTATGTGTGATATCCACCCTGACCACCTTCCTGTGACTCCAGCGTGGTACATAAACGTAGTGTCACATCAACTCAAAGAAACATTGTCTCTGAACACAATCCAGGCAGCAATGCGGTTGTCACCATAACGTTAATATGAAAACAGTTAAGTAGTACAGAAGTGTAATTGCTAGGAGACAAGGTTACACACTCACAGTGTCATACTCAGTTTTGTCTAAATTTACTTAGTGTCAGAATCATAGCAACATCTTATTCGTCACTCACCTTAAAAGCCTTGAAAACCTATTTTTGACATGAACACATTTTTTGGTGCAGTAAAAACAGGTCAAAGATTTCTTCTGTTTTTTCTTGCATGTCTCACTGGTCTGCAAAGTGCGGAGCTCAGTTGGAAGAAGGGGTGTCGTGTATTTCAGTGCAGCACTCAGTTTAGCAGCATTTAAATTAGAATCTAATGGTTTGTTTATGTAGCCAGGCAGGCGGTTATCAATCAAATCTGATCACAGTCTTGACAAAGCACAAATAAATAACACATTTACCTTTCACTTTGATAGTTGTTTAATTAGTAATTAATATTTAATATGAACTCCACCGATTATTAATGGGTCTTGGGGCCAACTGCGTACGTTTCTGATAACCTAGCATACGCTACATTTGTATGTTTCATACATATTATATAAACCTTTCTAATGTAGCGTAGTTCTGCTCACATGTGTACGAGCTAACAATGTCACCTGGAGGTGGAGGGGACGGTGGATGGTTTGACATCTAGGCGAGAGATGGCTGCCAAGCTGCAGACCACTGTTCACGACTAGCAAAAAAAACATGTTTTTTAACAAGACATGTGCGGCACTTCCAGCCATGATTGTGCCATCAAAAGCGGGTGTTTTAAGCAAAAACATGATCTATCCTGCCCTCACAAGTATTTTTGGTGCCTAAACATAACCACACATCAATTGCAGTGCTGTGGAAATGTATAGAAATATAAAGTTTCAACATATCTGCTACATTATAACGTACACTGCCAGTGTTTTATTCTGGTAATATGGTTGCTTGGGGAGTACTACTGCGTGGAAGATGTTGCGCAAAGCCACACAGCAGGATTTCTCTTTTTTCTTTCTTTAAATATAAAATCCCTAATGCAAAATCACAGTAAAGACAAGTAAAAGCAATTTTTTTTATAAGGAAACCATAGATCAGAGTAAATTAAATGGCCTTAAGTTGCAAATTCACACAAAAAATGAGTGCTCCAACACATAAAGCCTAGTCCTACTGTACTTACACACACACACAGACACACACACACCTCCTCCCACCTGTCTGTAACCATAACTCCTACTTACCAAAAGCTTCTTTCATTAACTAGCCTATATGTCTTCTTTTTCTACTCCCCTCCCCACTTCCTCGACCTTGGACCCTGTAGATTCGGATTAACAGGGAAGTAAGTACTTCACTGCTCGTTCTTCTGCCTGCCATCGCTCTATTCTCTTCTCTGCCCACTTCCCTCTTCTCTTTCCACTATCCTCTATCCACAAATGCTCAAAGGTCAGTGTGTTTCAGGTTTGTGCGCATTTGACAAACACACCCCCCTCCCCCCCCCCCCCCCCCCCCCCCCCAAAAAAAAAAAACATGCCCTTTTAGCTAATGATTTTAAATGAACACAAGGAGATGTGTCCTCTCCGGATAGAGGACCCCGCTGTCTTTGTTAGTTCTCATAAGTGGCCAAGACTCAGGGAGTTTAGTTGCTATGGCGACCGTCTTAAGTGGAGGAGTGGTAGCGTTCATGCTGATAGCGTTTGGCCGGGGCCAGAGGAATTGTGGATAGCAGGCCTCACAGCACTGGTCATCCATCTCCATTTCAAACATGTCCCTGCTTACATGACTAGATGCAATTCAGTTTAGCGATCCATCTGCAACGTGGACAGACTCGACATTTTAGAGAGATGCCCTCTGCAAAAAGATGAAAACTGTTATGAACATGGATTGCTCCATCATGCTGATGTGATGAGAGCCGGCAGGCTCGGGAGTTTATTCAGATTATTCCTGACCTGCCTTCCCAACTTCACAGAGATATGTAAGGTAATTGGGGCATCAATTATCCTTCCAGCTGCTCCTCTCACACAACAAACGGCAAACCACAACATCCATGTTGTTTTTTAGGTGATGTTTTCACAGAGCTGCATCTTGGAGACAGGTGTCCCTGTTACCTTCAAATTTAGATACCCGGCGCCTATTTTCAGGACTTCCTTTGAACAGTGTGCTCGTCCTTAAAGTGTTCATGCTTCAAAGTCCCTCAGGTGGTCTTTGTCATGTTTATTCCCCTCAAGGCTGTAGAGGTGACATCTCAATGTTCATTCATATTCACCTCATACCCACCGTATGAACATGTCTGTCATCTATATCAAAGGCTGTCACATCCTTTGATATAAAGGATCTCCAAATACCTCACTGTACGTATCAGATTTTGCCTTCAAAAATGTTTATGTTGGTGATATCATGCGTTTATGTGAAACCTGTGTATTATACTCTTCCAATCATTCTGACTTGTGAGAAGAATTCAAGGAGGAAGTTTTCTGGGGAAGAAAATGTGGTTCCAGTTTAATTCATCATACCAGAAATAGCACATATTGCATCTTCAGTGAAAATGGATTTGTTTTTATGGGGCGGCACTCTGAGAAAGAGGGTTTGATAAATAAATCGGACACCTGAAATTGAGGAGTGTGCACCTTATAGTTTCTTTATCATATCTTTATTAAACTGTCACAGGGATTCAGTCATTGTTCAGGCAGCTCCCAACTCCTTGTCAGAGTCGCTTTCTCAGAGATTTATCAGCAGTTTGTCAAGATGCAGAATTCACCATGTGTTGCTACGACTGCTCCAAACTCTCTGTGGAGTCTGTGAGGGCAAAGGCATGGTTTGGAGTCAGCAGCAGGTCAGACAGTGCTGGAAAATTATACCGGAAACACGACTCACAGTTGCAGTGGGTCAGTAGTAGAGCAGAATGCAGAGAACAAGGTAAAAAGGGTGAGACAGAGAGACACCCTCCCATACAGCTGTGCCTAAGGCGCAGATGGCTTACTCAGCATGTCATCCTTCTTCTCTCTTTCAGGGCTACCATCGATCCAACCACTTCATCGCCACTCAGGGTGAGTATCCCAGCAAGGCTATAGTGTGTGTTTATGTGTGAGTGTGTGTGTGCATGCAGCACAGTGAGTACCTTTTGACGCCGTGTAATAAATTGAAGATGATCTAACCAATGAGCCTACTCATGCGCGGTCCCTGGCCAAAACTATCTCCACGGCGAATCCAAAGGTGATGGTGTGACTGCTAACCCGTGAAGGCTGTGCAAGTGATGTCACTGAATTAATCATGAGAACAGGTGAATAATTAAACACATTAATTATAGCTTCTCAATCTCTGGGACACGCCGAGCAGCGTGTACATCGTTGGGGGGAGAACCTTTAGTTCACCCTCTGTCGCTCAAATGTAAAGTGGCTTCTGACGGACAGTTGGACTCTGTTAAAAATGTCCCTCTGCTGTTTCTAAACCCTGAGGAGTGTCAGTTTCCAGGGAGCTCCCATCACAAAGTCACCCAAGGTCTGCTCATCTGCTTATCTTGCACCAGCACCTCCTCTTCCCCCTGTTAGAGAGATGAAACCTGCGAGACAGTAAAAAAAGACGTCAGCGGTGTTTTTGTCTCTCTGTGCATTTCTTTCCTACGTGAGTCTCGTTTTAAAGTTGTACCTCGCTTCCTAAACGTCTCCTCCTCAAATGACAATGACTGACTGATGGTCCCACGGGCTTTCATCAGCAGCTACTGCTGTTGTTTTGTCACCTGTCACCCTCCCCCTCTGACTGGAATTCCCAATAACTTTATTGAGAGCTTTATCAGTACCCTGCTGTCTGAGGAAAGGACACTTAGGTCTCAATAATACAAGATTTTTTAGCAGCAAGAACTCCCTTATTGAGCGAGCATGCTCTAACACTGCCTTTTTTGTCTCTCTTTCTGTTATTTCTTCCCAATAGGACCTAAGCAGGAGACTCTGTATGATTTTTGGAGGATGGTGTGGCAGGAAAATTGTTTCAGCATCGTCATGATCACTAAGCTGGTGGAGGTTGGCAGGGTAAGTGATGTGCACTCCCCCCCCTTCCTCCCTTCCTGTCACCACCCAGTGCTCAGAAACATCCCACATTCACCATGAGGGAACATTTTGGTGTCTATATGAAAAGCTTTTGTGTGTGATAAGTATAGATCTCACAGAAGCTTGCTGTGCATACAAACTGCAGCCTCAAAGCTCTTCGTTTTGGTGAGGATGTTCTGCATTCATGTGAAACTATGAGCCGCTTCTGCAGTAGAGCTCCTAACTGTTAGACATTTTGGGAAACGCGCTCTTTTGCTGGAAGTTAGATGAGAAGATCAACTGTCTCTCTCTAACTATAAAGCTACAGTAGGCAGTCAGTTAGCTTAGCACAAAGACTAGAGACTGTGCAAAGATACAGAAATAAATATAACCCCTTTGAAACACATTAAACATATGACTTATATATAACAAGTCAATCTGAGGGCTTTAGATGAATATTTTCACCACTGGTCAGAGCCAGGCTAACTTTTCCACCCTATTTTCAGTCTTTATGCTAAGCTAGGCTAGCCAGCTGCTGGTTGTAGTTTCATATTTACTGCACAGAGAGGTGTCAATCTTCTCAACTAACTCTCGGCAAGAAAGTAAATTAACATATTTTCTATAATGTTGAACAGTGTTGTTTTACTTTCTGTACCATATTCTCATGGTGAAAACATACATTGAATAAATGCATTTAGAAGGCAGTGGTGCTGGCAGGATTATATTATTATATAAAACTCTGATAAGCCCATCACGTGCATTTCAAAGACAAGCCAACAGAACTGACAACAACAGCCAGCAAACAAACAGAATACAATATAATACACTGAGTATAACCCAGAGAAATGTGCAGGCATTTAGCAGGCAACAGATTGCTTCATTTTGCAGCAGCATCACACAACAACAACATCAACATCAGCAGTTGGGTATAAAAAATATGCAGCGACAATATGTGACACTAAGCCCAAACCAAGCTGCTACAATAAACAATAAAAATGCCATTAAAGTAGTACTCCTACCTATTTGAAGTTAATTCTGCATCTCCCTGTTGCATCAAACTCCTGCAGAACGGCCTCCACATCAGTTACAATATCATGATGATCCCGGGGCTCATCGCTTTGCAAAGCAGGTGGATCCTGGACATGTAGCTAGCTGCAAGCCTCTGTTGTTGTAATGTTAATGCTAGCAGCAGTAACGTTAGCAGACTCGGTGCTTGTACTGCTGCTCTCTGCATATTCTTTGCTGCTGAGGCTTGTTCCCTTTCTTATTTCAAAAGCTCAGTTGTTTGTGTTTGCTCATTACTAACTCCTTTTGCTTGCTAACACACAAGTAACACATGTTGCCAGCATCATAATCGAGCACTCTGGCCTATGACATGTGCACCAGTCATTTGCATCCCAGTGTATTTGCATCATATATGAGTGGCCAACAAATGCACCTCAGGTACGTTCATCAGTAAAAAAAGAAAAAAAAACAAAAAAACCGAGAGATACAAAATGCTGCTTTTGTTACAATTTTCTTTTCTTTTCTTTTTTTTTTTTAACTTCATTTTTATTTTTGAAATGTTTCAACACATTGTCACATTTTGTCAACGTGGATCAATATATAGTCAGCCTATATAGAGAAAGAAAACATACAGAAGTAAATAAATAAAACCAATACAAAAATAAAAATAATTTGAATAAATAAATAAATAAAAAGACCTGCACCTACATATAAAACAGAATGGTTGCAAAAAAGAATCTTGTATCACAAATAAAGCCTCTCACCCTCACATTCATTTCTATTGACTAATATTCTATTTCTGTCCATTTCCAAAGGAGGGCTATGAAAAAGGGGATATAACAACTGTAACAGCTACTTATTACATAGAACCAGAGAGGTAGAGATAAAGAGTAAAATGAAATAAAACAGAGTAAATAAAATGTTTGTAGTAGTTTGGCTTTACGAATTGCACGTTACAATACAGTATCATTCACGTGATTCTTTAGGTTTACAGAGAAAGTGGCCTTCTCCATCATGTAAATCTTACCATTTTAATTTCAAGATGGATGTCTGCTTCCTATGGTTTGGCACCTGGTGTCTACCTCTTTATAAAGCCCGACCCCACCTGAGCGCCATGGGGGTACATGCCCATAAACATCCTGAAACACAGGAAATAAGAAGGAAATAAGAAAACGCAGGCAGAGGGCAGAGTCTCTGCAGAAATATACATCATCACACTCTTGTACTCACAAGTAATTAACAGAGATTACCTCTGTATCAGTCTATATGTTGATTCTAGAAAAATCCTGCATAGCATATCTTTAAAAGGACTGCTACATGGATTATCTCTTATTTGCCAGCTTTGAAAACATCATGAAATTGCGATGCCGTTTTATAGAAATTTACATCAAGAGTATTACGATTATAGAGTCCATAAAATGTGCTGTAAAATTCTTGCGAGGCATAAAAATGTCTGAGCCACATATCTAGTGCTGCTGTCCTTGTATATACACTGCGTGACTACACAGGTTTAATGGCTATACTGTAGTATTGTTATTATCCACCTCACATAAATACCCATACTATATGAATTCAGCTCTAAGCACCCCATCCTGTTCGGTCGAGGCAAGAGAAACATATTACTCAGTGGATGGTTAAAATGACAGCATTTTTCTAGCAGTAGCCGTACATCCAATTTGGTTCTCCATACCAACAGTTCTGGGAACAGTCAACAAATGAGGACTGGTTTGTGTGGCTGAATCCAAATAACACCTCCATTAAAAAGAAAAAATTGCCTCCTTTGTGCCTCGTGTTGGTGAAAAAGATTGTCGCCCTCCTGTTCATTATGCTTCCCACCATTATGTGATTATTGTGCTTTTCTTTTCCTTGCCCTCGCAGATGAAATATCTGCAGGGGAACACATTGTTTTTGTTCTTCCACAGCATTTGAAGTGTAACCTCTGTACATTTTTAACTAATTAAATTTCACACCAATGTTATCTTTGTTCAAGTCAAATCAACAAACTAAGTATTTTCATATTTTTCTAATTAACACACAATGATAAATTATTATGTGATCTTTTTTGCTATTAAAGTAATCGTTAAAATTTATTATGTAACATGTTTTTTATAACAATTAAATGCTGAATACTCATAGGACTTTTATACAACATTCAGAGCATTAATACAACAGCAAACTACTACTTACTATGTATTCGATGGAATTAGAGCCGTGCTTCGAGCCGATGTTCAGTACAACAGCACTCCTTCTCGTGTAATATTGCTTTTATACAACAGTTCTACAAGTGCCATTTGTAAATTAACCGGGAAAAAAGCACCATCAGATTATGATTTGTTTGGTTGTTTAATGATTCACTCGGCTCCATCAACATAAATAGTTCCACAGCTGGACTGAGACAGGACTGTTGCCTAGCAACACATAAATATTCCCGCACACTAAAGCCAAGTTCAGGCCAAAGATTGGTCAGTGAGATGAAACAGTTTAAGTACATTGCAGAGAAAAGTTACAGCAGTGTGAACTGACCGTCTGAGTTCGACTCATGCCGGCTGATGATGTCAAATCACCGGCGGCTGGTTTTATAATGTAAAGCACGTCACTTGTTTCTACATCCAGTCAGCTTGTAGTGAAGCCCACTGGTCAAGTTTGCTTGTTGTGGCAAGTGCTCTGCCCCCTGCCGAACCCTCTGTTTCCGTCCTCACGCTGTGCTAATGTCAGACAGTGGGTTCCTGCTTCTGCTGGCTGTATGTGTTTATGCCCCCCACACACACATTCTCATTGACTGATCAATGGGCGCTAGTCATTTATATTTTTGTGGCGTATTTATTATAAATACAGTCCATCTGATGCTCGTTTTGTTTGTTTCTCACCATTTCATCAGCACTGCAAATGCAACTGTAGCTAATATCTCTCTGTCACTGTCCTCATTCATATTTTAAGAAGCTGCAAGTTATATTCAGCCACAAAATAAGCCTGAAAAGCTGGAAATCAGAACGGAAGTACAGAGAGTTGTTGCATAGAGATGGTACACTGTCTCATCTAGTTGCATTGGCATGAACAATTAGCTGCCTGTTTCAACGCGTCTAGTCAAGAATCTTTGGTCTGAACTGGGCTTAACGTGCTACTTTGTGTAAGCTATCTCTACACATTACTGCAGGCCAGTGACTTTGTATTAGGTACATTTATCTGTATGTTTCCATTTACTGTGTGACCAGTGAAAAGGGAGTCTGTTGACAGTCGCTTTTGTGGCGTAGGTTTGATGCCTACGAGTTCTTTGCAACATCCTCTGATGTCATATGAGCATACCTGGAGATTTGATTTATCCAGGCTTCTTTACTTCCCTCTGTCTTCCTCTGATGACCATTCATTATCAAACTCCAAAAAATGGAATAATGTTCCTCTTTGCAGTGCAAAGTTTGTTAGTACGACCCTTTATGTAGGCTAATTATTGAGAACACGTGAAGCGGAGTGATACAAGTATAGTCAAAAGTCTTGCTGCTGTTATACTCTGTATCAGCGCTCATGCAGTGCTTCCTGTCCAATCAAACTGTTTGGTTGGAATTAACTGTTGTATAAAGTGGAGTAACGGCGTCCTGAGCAGAGACTGAAGTCACACTACATCTGTATGTGTAATCATGGACGTATACCGACAACTGTATACAGCAGGGCCCCGTTAACTCCTGTGAAAGTTGCTCAGTGGCACATGAAGCCCAAAAAAGTTTAACTGCCCTGTGTAAAATTACCCAGATGAACAGCGCTGCTTCCACATCATTGGGCCCATAGAGCAGGCGCACTAGAGACTTCCTGGACCATATCCATGTTGAGAACCATGTGCAAACCATACCATCCCAGACTCTAGATAAGCTTTAGATGTCGTTTACAGGTCCTTTAATTTAACGCAAATATGATGCGAAGTACTCCAGGTAATCCAAAAGTAGCCTCAAGAAAGTGACACATAGACTCATCCAGTAACCTTTAAAAAACTTAAACATGCAATCCATGACTCTCTGCGCGTTCATAAACTGAGATGACAGAGCATCTATTGTCATTTGTTTAACTAGCAGTTTAACCTTGTAGTTTGGTCACTGGATTGATGCGGTTTACTTGACTTGACATCGTCAGTGCAGGTGCAGCAAACTCAAACAGCCCAGCAGCATCGTTCAGTAGCAGAGAATGGACTTGCAGCACATTTCATGGAAGCACTTTGTGTGACATCTTCCTCGAGATGTATAGAAATATCTTCGTTAAGGAGAGAGGGAGATTTAGAGACATTGCTCCTTAAGAGGGAGACGTTTTGGAAAATTGGGCACTTTAAGCCTGAGAAGGTTCAATTGAGAAACACGGGATCATATTTTCTCTCATTTTTTTTCTCTTTTTTTTTTTTTTTAGAAAAAAGTAAGAAATTGAAGAATGATTGTTTTAAGGTCAACCCTATTGACCTTTTCTTCAGTCAGCTTTGTTGTTAATAACCGGGGAAGGAAGAGATTTGAGTATACTGTGTTTTGAAAAATGAGATTGAACCAGTAGAGACTTTTTTGCTTTGAACTGGAGGGTAAAAAAGTAGAGATTCAACCTTCACAATACTGTATCAAACAGATTAATTCATGTTACACCTTCCACAGTTGTGCAGGTGCATTTTGTCAGGAATGTCAACATGAAGTTTCACTCTGTTGCTTCACTATTTTCTAAACAGGTGAAATGCTGTAAATACTGGCCTGATGACAGCGAGATGTACGGTGACATCAAAATCACTCTGCTTAAAACAGAGACACTGGCTGAATACACAGTCCGCACCTTTGCCTTGGAGAGGGTAAGTTTATCTAAGGTTTACATTTTGCCTGCCCTTGTTTGCCTACCATCTTTTGCATGTATTGGTACTTGTTATGGTATTCTTAGAATTAGACACAGTACATTAATAGAGGGGATTAGATACTTGACAGGACTTACTGCTGATGGGTATGAGGGCCACATGTTAAATTGAGAGGAATTAACACCAGTAGCTATGTGAATGCCCCTGCCATCTTTCCAACATAGCTGTTACAGTGTTGTGCCCCTGATGGCCTCCATCCTGTCAATCTCTCAGGGGATCTCTCATTGGAGGGGCTCAGAGCAACGCTGGAGTGACAGTGGCACAAACACAGCATTATCATCACACTGTCACATTCGCTCTCCATGGGCACACGCTGCTGCTTATTCAAATCGTCATGAATTTGGGAGCTGGTGACAGCTTGTTTTTCATAGCTCTTTTCCTCCCTTTCTTTTTTTTAGGGGGGATTTCTGTCTTCAACAAATCTTTGCTTTGCGTCGCTTTACTTTGTCATCTCTGTACAGAGGAAGAAATTGCTGTGTGACTGCAGCAGCCTCCCAGTAGAGAGGAGAAACCTCCCAGCCCTCCCTGAGCTCCGAGAGCCTCAGTAATTCCTTTTCGCGTGTCTGTCACACTGCGGCTGCTACTAGCATGTGACGCCCAGAGGCCTAACTGTCCTAGAAGACCTAACACCCCACGTAAATAATGTCCTGGTTGTCCTCACACTGAACCGAAAAATCTGTCACATCTATCACGGATGTCTCTGAATGGATGGGAGCACGCCTTGGATGAATTAAGGGCCTGTAGGCTACTACGGTTAAGAAGCCATAAAAATGTTATTTTCTAACATGTAATGCTAATGTGTCATGTGTTTCTGTTGACAGAGAGGATATTCAACCAAGCATGAGGTGCGTCAGTTCCACTTTACATCCTGGCCTGAGCACGGGGTGCCCTATCACGCCACTGGACTGTTGGCCTTTATACGAAGAGTGAAAGCCTCTACGCCTCCTGACGCTGGCCCTGTGGTGGTCCACTGCAGGTAGCATGACGCTAAGCAGCCGCTGTAACCTGCAGCATTATAAAAGCAAACCAACAGTAACTTTTATTGTAAATATGAGTGTTATCACAATTACTTTTTTTAGTATGATAAGTTGTATTAGTAAAAGTTAGTATTCTCTGTTGGGAGGCTCGGGACCACTACAGTGTGCAGAATGAGGGTCATGTGATCAATTGAGATTGAGTAGCCATTCAGTAGGCTACTCTTCGTTAGCCCTGCTATCAAGGCCAATTGAAACGCAATAACTAAACTCAAACTAGGGTAAGGGTAAGGGTTTTTAAACAACCTGTTGCTTATATCTCTATTCTCTTTTACACAAAATACCTTATTCCATCATTCCATAGGCCACTGCAAGCTTTCTTCATCGTCTCTTGGTGGCTTTTAACACTCTTATGCCTGAAGCGCTGTTTCCAGAACTCCTCCAGTTTTTCAGATTTCGATTGTCCAGTTTGTTCTGCATTATCATACATCCATTGTTTTCCTTCCTAGTGCTCTTCTTGTTACATCATCTCCTTGCACTCTCTTGCAGTGGCACCTGTCTTGAGAATTAGCACTAGCTACTGCATAACTCCATGAACCAACATCCAATATTAGCATTAACCGTAGAGGATTGAAAAATGCATAAATTTGCATTTTCTTTTGCTGATTTTTTGAAAATTCTGTTAAAAATGTGTGCTCAATTTGTATGGAAACCCTCAATACAATGATGTTGGTTAGAAGACAAACAACTCAGATGCTAAATAGAAGATTAATAAAGACTGGACTACACTTAAAAATCTGACTTTGCACCCCTCATGGATATTCATGCAAACTGGATTTTTATTTATTTAGATTTTGAAAACCTCATGTGATGAGCCCTTTAATTCATAATGTAGCTTTTTTACTTTTTTACTATCACACAGTGTTCTGGATTTTCTCTTGCTGGTGGCACAGCAAAGCTTCCATTAACTCAGAGCTTGTCCATACCCATTGGTAGCTTTGTCACCTTCTACCTATGCCAATCCTCAATGCCTATGTGCAGTTTCACATAGATTGACCACGTCAGTAAGTAGAAAAACGTGGGACAGACAGAATGACTGACTGACAGAATGACACACTGACAGTTTCCGTGATTATGTACAGCATACCATACCATGACTTAGTCATACCAAATATTAGAAGAAAAAAAACAAGACATTCAGCCTTAGGGGGAGCCACAGCGATCGGTTGCATTTTATAGTTGTTATAGTGCCACCCAGTTGCCAATTAGAGTTAAATTTCTCCAGTCACCTTGAGGCGTCCGGTTCTACATATCTACATACACATACACATATCTATATCTAAAGTTTAGTAAAAATCGATATGGCCGTTAAGCCTAGGTAAGAAAATAGCTCTCTAGCACCCCCATTTTGTTTGATGGGGTCAATAATGGAGGGGTCCCCTCAGATTATGTGTGGTCATATGCCTACAAAGTTGCGTGGTGATCGGTGAAACCCTTGAGATGTTATACACCTTTATGTGATGAGTCACGCCCTCCGCAATATTCATTGCCTTATAGAAGCTCAGTTTTAGTAAGTTTTCCAACTTTTGCCAAGAGGGAGCTTTAGACATTGCTCCCTAGATTATGTTCACCAAGTTTCATGCAGATCGGTCAAACTTCCTAGGAAGAGATTGATTTAAGTGTTTTTCAAAAAATTCAAATTGGCAGAAAATCTATATAACCAGAAGTTATGGGTTCTTGAGGCAAATTTGTTCCTCATGAGGAGAGGCATCTCTGTGCAAAGTTTCATGTCTCTACGACATACGGGGCATGAGATATGCCCATTCAAAGTTTGCAATTTCAATTGGTTGCTATGGCGCCCCCCTTTGGCCAATTGATGTAATATTGCTTCATTTGCATCCTCCCGTGACCCTCTACCACTGTGCCAAATTTCACATGGATTGAGGAGAAAAACGTTGAACAGACACACAAACAGTTTTCGTCATTATAGTAAGGTTAAAAATACGTCACAGGAGTGTCAGTTGAAGAAGGTAGAAACAAAACATAATGTGGTAAAAGCTACCAAACTAAATTTCCAGTAATTTCATTATAGAATGTAACACTAGCTTAACACACATTAAAAGATAATGGTGTAGTAATAGCCAGGACAGTGGCAGATAGCGCAGTATAACCTGGCTGCGTCAGTCAACTGCTAGTGTGCACGTGACTCTTGTCTTGTATGTTGTAGCTGTCCTTCAAGACTCTCCCATTCTCTTTTAAATCATGTAGTGTAACAATTTCTGCACCTGAAGAGACACACTGCACACCGAGTACATTTCTACATTTTTACCAACTTGATAGTCTGGTGATTAAATGCTTTAAGACTGTACACTGTTCCTCATGAAAGATGTCCTTTGTGTGCCAGTGTGGGGGCGGGCCGTACCGGCTGCTACATCGTGCTGGATGTCATGTTGGACATGGCCGAGTGTGAAGGCGTGGTGGATATCTACAACTGTGTCAAAACCCTCTGCTCTCGACGCATCAACATGATCCAGACAGAGGTCAGGCTAACTGCACAGCCGGGAAACCACTTCACATTCAAATTTAAGTCTGTTATCTCTAATTTGTCTCGCACATATTCCGGGGGTTACATCACTGGTCATAATATGGTAACATTTCTCCACTGGAACTTCTGGAGAGACGGATTTTTAAACATTTGTTTTTCCCTCCTGTTGTTTGGAAATTCAAATAGCGAGGGGGGGAGGTGTATTATCATACTCCCCCTCTGGGACTCATGTAAAGGTCATTGCAATAGTTTAGAGAAAAGACTTGTATTGTCTTTCAGTGTGCTGCGTAGGCACGTGCTGTTCTTTAGATGTGCAGATAATTTGCATATTCACCCCTTATTATGTAAATCCGACATTGACTTAGCTGTTTATTACATTTGTAGTTTTGTGCAGGGGTTCTCTAATTAAATGCACAAGGCATGTGTTTGTTTACTCGGAAATATTTATTTATTCTCTAACAGCTTTCATACACCACCAACATTATAGCACATGTTTAATTCAGAACAAGGTTATGAGAAATCTCCGCCATTCTTTTTATTGTTTGATTATTTATTCACATTTACATAAGGTATGTTCTGTCTTAACCCGCCGTGCTTTGTAATGTCGGTTTAGCTGTTTGCAACACTCCCTCATGTGTTATCTGACACCCACTAGAGTGCACACGCATGCCCACACATGTGCACTTACACAGCACTTAATAATGTTACCTTTCGTCCTTTCAGGAGCAGTATATCTTTATCCATGATGCCATTTTGGAGGCCTGTCTGTGTGGAGAGACGGCAATTTTGGTGAACGAGTTTGCCGTCACTTACAAGGAGATGCTGCGAGTGGATTCCCAGAGTAATTCCTCTCAGCTACGGGAGGAGTTTCAGGTTGGTTTTTAGCCGGATGGAAACATCATGACCCTCATCAGTTTTCTAAGCACATATTTAGCTAGTTAAAATATGCAGCCATTAAAAGCTGAAACATGCAAACACTTATTCTGAATCACACAGCCCACACACTGTAATTTGCATTTATAATGATTTAAGTTAATGAAACCTAGTAGTGGGCTACTTTTACTTCTACTGTTACTTACTACTAACAACAATGTAGCACAAGCACTTATGGAGTACAATAAATACTATGATCCGGACCCAGCGGCCAGCTTCATGCATTACAGCAGCACAGCTACTAAAGACTGACGCAATGAGACAATTAAAACTGAGCGAAGTGTGATCTCCAAGGAAGTGTGTGTCTGTGAGTGTGTGTGTGTGTGTGTGTGTGTGTGTGTGTTTGAGAGAGAGAGAGTAAAGGCCTTGACACTTGTTGGTGAGTGTCTGTAGCCCTGGTCTTTGTGGTTGTCCCGCACCATTGGCCCTTGTCGGCCTTTGTTGGCCCTTGTTGGCTTTTTTTCACCCGATTTAGCATGTTGATTCCACGTCAGAAATAGTGGACCCTGTCGGTGAATTAAATCACTCTGACTGGCAGTTTAACTCAGTGCATGAGAAGAGAAACGAAAATGATGGGGCACCCAGTAGCACACCTGGTAGAACAGGTGCCCCATGTACAAGGGTCTGTTCTTGCCGAGGTGGCCACAGGCTCGATTCTATTCAGCGGCCTTTTGCTGCAAGTCATCTCCACTCTCTCTCTCTCCCCCCTTCGCATGAAAGTTGTCCTCTCTAATAAAGCCCAAAAAATAATCTTAGAAATAGTAAAAAAAAAAAAAAGCGAAATGGAAGTGAGGAAAGTAAACAAACAGCTAAAGTCGAAAGGAAGTGAGACCAAAACAAACTTGCTACAGAAGATTATTTTTCTTCAGCCTTTGAGCTCTTTAGCAGAAATGTTTCCTGATGGTTTGTGTTATTGTTCAATGGCCCACAGTATGATATGCTTTGTTCCTTCAACTTTGGACTGTGTTGTTACTGAGCTAATTGGCTAACTAGCATCAAAAATGTCTTCTGGTTTCCATTTTTGAATGACGAATACAGACTATTGCTGTCTGCTGGTGTGGAGACTTATTTCCTCTCATGCAGGCACAGAACTTATGTGCTGGTTGGCCATTGGCTGTAGTCTTTGCGGTGTGTTCAGGTGCAACATTTTGGCCGAGACACAGGTGATGGGAGACACCACAACAGTCGGCTTTTGTTGCCACTAGTTCTTTGAAGCCGGTTTGGTGTGTCTGGGTCTTACAGAAAGAGGTGGAGTAGGTGGACTTTTTGTTCTCAGTGATCGATTAATGACAGCCATCATCAACTAATGATCCATAGTATACAGTTATGAGAGTATTATATTTGTATATATGTTTTGCATGTATTCTGTTGTGTACACTAGATATGCTCGGTTATCAACTTGGTGTTCACACAGTTACATAAACAGATGACAATATCTTCTCTGTCGTGGAAAAGCACTTTACAGCAGACATTTGCAAGTCGACACAGAAAGTGCAGAAAGGAATGAGCTAATGGATGTGCGTGTGTATGTGTGTGTATGTGTCTCTGTCATGTATACATCCATAAATGTGTGTGTGTATCTGTGTATGATGTTTGTTCCCTTTCACTTTTGATTCTGCGTGACTGTCATTGAAATCCTCTGCCCGGTTTGTAGGAATGTGGTCTCAGAACATTTTATTAGATGCTGATTAGGAGAGAAGAGAGCCAGCTGTGTTCCCACATGCTTTACCTGACTCACCCCCCAACTCCCCACCCTGCTGCAGAGCTCACGCAGCAGCCGCATTGATTCCAGGTTTAGCATTTCAAAGTAATACTGGAAAAGGCTCATGCTCCCCCCTTTTAATTCTATACTGTTTTATCTTATACTCTTTATAGGATTTATGATGAATGTATTGCTTACAATTGGGGAATTGTACTGTAGGTGGAGCGATGCTCTGATTACAAGCTGTTAGTTCTTCATAAAGGAAAATGTTACATGCCTGGCTTTGATCTTGTAAACTTATCCATCTGACATTGTTGGTGAAAGCCTCCCCATCGCCCAATGAGCTTTCTGTTTGCCTTTTTACTCTGTCATCCTGCAGACTGCAAACAGCCAACCGGTAGTACTGACATCAGCAAGTCACAGATCTATTATTGATGCTGTGTATTAATGATCCGAATACTTTTTCACGTTGTCAAATGTCATTACGGCTAAATAAACAGAGAGTTCATCAAAGAAAATTGATGTTCAATACCTCCCCTTGAGTTGTTTTAACTTCATTACATTTTCTTTTATAATGCAGCCAGCCTAATTAATCCTTTATTATTTTAAATCAGTTTGTCAACCGAGTGTTCTGAGTATTAAAGATTCTTTCAATTAACATTATTGGATTCTTGGCGTTCTCTGAGTCCCAGTCCTCCCTCTTGTCTGATTCACTTCTTCTTCTCTCTCCTTCTATGAATCCTTGGCTTATCTCTCCCTGTTCCTCACACCTTCCATCTTTCTAATTCTCTACACTGTCATGTCACGCTCTCATTGCGCTTGTCTTACCTCTTTAACATTTCGATTTACAGACGCTTAACTCTGTAACTCCCCACCTGGATGTGGAAGAGTGCAGCATTGCTCTGTTGCCCAGAAACCGAGAGAAGAACCGCAGCATGGATGTTCTGCCACCTGATCGCGCCCTTGCCTTCTTGGTTACAACAGAAGGGGAGAGCAACAATTACATCAACGCCGCTCTCGCCGACAGCTTCCATCGGCAGGCTGCTTTTATTGTGACCCCTCACCCTCTGCCTGGTACCACGGCTGATTTTTGGAGGCTGGTCTTCGACTACGGCTGCACAGCCGTGGTCATGCTCAACCAACTCAACCAGTCAAACTCTGCCTGGGTAAGGTCAAAGTGTTATATACTGTTTTATTGCCATCGATTTGTTGACACCATAAAGAAAAAGAGACGTAGAAAAATGTTTGAGTTCACTCACACCAGATCCGCTGTTTGCTGTGCAAGTTTTTACTTTCAGCACTTTCGAGGTTATCTGAACTTTACTCGAGACTTTTCCTGACATACCCTGCCTTCGCTGTTTCTGTATCTCACTGTGCTTGGGATTAGTTCCTTCATGCCATTTTGTTGGGCTTTGATCCCTGACCACATTGATCTCAAGGCATGACTAGATAACACCCGCCCCAGTTTTTCCTTCCCCTCCTCAAGTTACATCTCTAAAGAATAGGCTTGTATTACCCTCCAGCCACATCTCAGGGTTCTTTTTGTTGGCGTCCCACTTTTCCTCATGAGCATATGTCTTTTTCTGTACCGCAATATATCCGTTTCTTTCGTTAACACTTGCAATAACAGTAACAATGAGTAATAGTGATAACGAGTGGAAGCACAACACAAGATTCAAGTTCAAAAATTAACAACACAATGGAACGTGAAACAAACAAAAGTATGTCCTAAATTCATTCACAGGGTATTTTAAAGATTGTTAAAGTCTTTGCTTGCCTGGCCCCTGTGGCAGGGATGCTCAACTTGCGTTGCCCAGGGCCAGTTTTGCAAAATGACAGGAGGCCAGGGGCCAATTTAAAAACAAACATTAACAATTAATAAATGAATAATTAGTCTGGACCTCTCTATAAACAAGCTTTATTTTGCTGCTTTTTTATGCATTCTGATGCCTTATTTGTATTCAAAGTACAAAAAATTTCCAGTGCGACTCAACTTATTTTAATTGGGTATTAAAAATGGTTGATACGGAGGCCAGATTTGGCCCAGGGGCTATAAGTTGAATTTCACTTCCTGATGGTAAGCTATCACATATTGTTGTAGCTCAAATGACAATGCTTAAACTCATAAACAAGGACTAAAAGCTGTGGTTGCCAGCTTTTATAAAAAATAACTTCCTCTTGTTTTTGCTGGGATTGGCACTATATCCACAGTTTACATGGGGCAGATTATCTGTAAAATAAAAACTTATTCTTCTGCCTTCTCCTAGTGCTTTAATGACATTATCACACTTGAATGAAAACAACCAATCAGAGTGGAGGAGTTTCTAATGCAGCTGTCAATCGTGTCAGTCACTGCTTGTAAACTGTGGTCAGATGGTCAAACTAGGCAGCACTGCTTAAATATGAATTGAGATGCTGTTACTTGATATCATATGAAAAATTCTGTATGATACTTAATTATTCACATTACTGATACTGATATTTCGACTTGTTGACACCATACTGTTACGCATGGTAGTGACAAGCATGGCTGAGAGCAAAATTATTATCGACTCCACTGTAGTTCCAAATAGAGAAGCAGCTTCAGTAGTGTGGAATAAACTGTGGCGTCCTGGATGTTTTATGAACAGCCCCGGACTTCTCATAGCCTGGAAATCCAGACCCAAATCTAGAAAGATTTAGGGTCTGGCTATGAGTCATGCAAATGGCCCAACTCGAGGGGCGGCACCAAGCATGCATTTGAAAATATCACTGCACGCAATTGGATAACACTACGACCAATCAGAACAATACACAGGGTGACGTATCCAGAGCGCTACCAGTGGGGCTAACTGGTAGATTAGACTCTTGTTGTATCCGGTCGGCAAAACAGCAAAAACATCCTTCTTGCAAAGGAAAGATTCGAGCGCCGTCTTCTGTTCCTCTTTTCGAGAAAAAGCCAAGTCTAACTCGTTCATTGTAGCGGCCAAAGCTGTTTCAAATAACTGGTGTTCATCCGTAGCCATCTTGCAATGTTTACTGACTGATTCCGGACTTCGTCGTCACAGCACTGTCATCATCTGTTTAGCTCGCCTCTGACCCGCCTATATCAGATACACCGATGTGATTGGTGCAGCTCAGCTCCAAGGGCATTGGTAATGAGCATCATTACTGATTGCCAGAGTGACTCGCTGAGCAAATTCAAATTGTGCTTTAGCGAGAACTTTGGATTTCCAGGGTAGACTTCTCAAGCTCTTTTAGCAACTTACAGCTCAGAGGGAACTCACTCAGCGGCGCCTCTGGCAGCAGCACAGCCTCTCTCCCTCTCCTCTCTTGCTGTGCGTCAGGAGTCAGTGTCGTCAAGTCATTTTGTCATGTAACATGGTAATGTAAACCTATGTCACGCTTGCAGCTCGACAAAAAACTACATATATGAGAATGTCCAATAGTTATGGCAGCATAACAGCCTGTCACAGCGTGATGATTAGAGGAGAAATGGCAGAGCATAAAGGTCCAGGTGGAAAAAAACAACACAATCATTTAGGATTTTGCTAAAAGAAAAGGAAATCACCTATTAATTTAAATACATATATAGATCTCAGGGTACATGCTTTGGATTTTGGAGCAGTTTAAATGTGTAATTTGTGGTATTTTTTGTTGTTGTTGTACAATTGATACTGTATACAGAATCTGAATCTCACAATCTGAGTTACTGTCGTTGTTTACAAACTAAGACATAATTTTATTTTTTACTGAATATTTGACGGCAGACTGGTAGGATGACATGTAAACTTAATCATTTCTTTTGTTGCTTTTTTTCCTTAAAATATTTTTTACTTATTTGACATATTGTGAAATCGCAAAAATACCCTGAAATATTGTGATATTAATTTAGGACTATTTCACCCACCCGTACCAAATGTAGCTTTAAGAGCTCTACCAGATAATCAAGATAATCACACTGAAGAGAAAAAGTCGGATACAGATCCTGAAGTCTATTCTGACATAGGAATATAATCATATCTCAGAGTTTGAGTCTGGTAGGAAACCGTTGAGCAATTTCAGCTATCCTGCAATTTTCTGATTATGACAGATGAACAGATCATTAAATAATTAAACATGAATGAAATGAAAGTGTGTAAAAAAAAAACCTGAATGTCATTTAAAAAAAAGGAATGTTTCAGTTCTCAAGATATTTCTCAGGTGGGGGAAACAGGACTTAACAAGCCTACAGCAGTAATATGGGGCTCCAGACTGATTATATGTAAGTCACAGATTTTTAGCAGAAGGAACAACATAGTCTGTTAAAGAGCCAAAAGCTGGCACAACTCGACTACAGACGTGTTCAGCCAATAATTAAGATCTCCATTTTGTTGGGAGTTAAGCTGAGGGAGATTGGCAGACATCCAGTCGGTAATGGCAGAAAAACAGTCATGCTGCTGAATAATTCAACAACGTTGGGACAGGTATGACTTGATATCTTCGGCATAATAATGGAAAGAAATGAGAAATGTCATGCTGTCTAAGAATATAGCTGAAGGAAAGGTGAGAATAAGATTGGTCCCAAAATGGACCCTTGTGGTACACCACACAGGGACACTGGCTGTGAGGAAGAAAGACACAAAAAACATGGTGATGGACAAACAAAACCAATCATGGACAGTCATGGAGACACTTTAACATCTTACTAACAATATTTTAATCCATTAGCGTCAAATGCTGCACTGAGATCAGACATTATGGCACTGAGCATTAGGGCCAGGATACATGCCGTGACTTTTACCACCTGGAAAACGTGAGGTCGGGCGTCTGGGTGCCACTCATGTGCCTACTCTGTGCCAACTTTCATGGGCGCAAGGCAGGTTGTGCTTGATGTTGCTAAGTGACCACAACCAGCACTGTATCATGGCCTATACACCAGAAATCCAGAGTTTGCAAATTATCTTCTTCCAGGCATTTTAAGTGTGTATTAGGCCATAAATGTCTTTGAAACAGATGTAAAGCTCTGAGCAACCCTGCACTAATATGATCAACTCCACATTTACCAAAGACTTATATTTACAGAAGAAAAGGAAAAAAATGCCTGATTTGATTGGTTGGTCCTTTTCATTTGTCATAAGGTACACAATATTACATTCCAAAAGTTGAACTTTGTTAATCTGAGGGTGCAGCCGTCTCGCCCTGAAAAACTGGTGCTTAGGAAGGCTTGGGTGCAGCATTGGCATCGCTCTGTCTTCTACGTGTCCTCATTGACAACAATTAATTCGAGTGCGCAAAAACCGCGGCATGTGTTCAGTCCCTTAGGCAGCAGCTTTCATCAGTATCTCATTATCAACTCTTACAAGGGCAATTTGAAGTACTTATGTATAATTTCATATTGCCTTGTATTACACCTGTATAATTAATCCGTGTGTGAATAACTAGAGAATCATAGAAATCACCTGCAAAAAGCGAAAGACATGGAAGATAAAGGCTTATGCAGAATCTGGATTGTGGTTTTTAGGCATAAAGATTTACAAGCTTTGTGTAGTCAGACTTTAAATATGTATTACATTGTATCACAGCCTTGGAAAACAGGTACTTACTCTAAATTATGAATAATTGTTTGTCCAAGGTCTACCTTAGATTGCTGTAAAATCAGCCCTCAACATTTTTGTCTGTGTCTCTTGATAATGCTGGTGGAGATATAATTATGTAGTGAGTGTAAGTAGCAGCTGTGGCACTACTGGTTTTAAAGGGTACATATTTTGTCTTCGTATTGCCGGTTTAAATGATAGTTTATAAGAAAGGACATTGAATTAGAATTAAATAAATAACTAAAGATGACAGTGTGTTTGTAAAAAACTGAAAGAACTGGTCCAAAAATTGAGCCTTGCAATATACTACTACTACTACATTACTAATAATGCGCTACCTGATGTAATTTCTTTTTACATTTAAAGCTTCTACTGGAGATTTCGAATGAAGCTTCAAATGTCTGTTGTCATATTTTAAGTCATCACTCTTACAAAAAGAAAAAGCAAAAAAACAAAACAATCCTCAAACAAAACCCTTGCATAAAGTTAATCATCAGATTAAATGAGTTCATTGATTTTTTTTGTTAAAACAACTTTCTTTAATTAATACATGTAATTCATTCTGCTGTTAGACTGCTGGCCCTTTAATTACAGGTGCGTGACTCCTTTTGTTTGCTGCAAGTGGGGAGCAAACGCCAACAATTATGGATTGAAGCAGAATATTTTGTTAAAAACATGTTGAGAATTTTAAAAATGATTGCAGCTGTCTTTTTTTACATAACTTTTGACTTTTGGACTATCTGCTATCTGACGCTAATTATGACAGTATCCCACCTTTAGATGTTCATCAAAATCGGTAAACACTTACTATGACCTTTAAGGGCCTTGACAGTCTTTGTAACAGTGGTTACAGTGTCGAGAGTTTATATCGAATTATGAATCATTATGTATGATCTTGTAGAAATTTAGGGTTTCTGTGTTTGCCTTTGTAACACCCTGTGTAGTCTAGTTATAAAACTGAAAATAAATCTTTGCCCTCCCCACATTCAATCCCACTTTTCATCCCCTCCCCTTTAAATATTTTTCATCTCTTTTCTTTTCTCATAGTGCACTGCAGCTCCTTTTGGGTCTTGCCTGAAAATTGAGTTATCACCACTTTAAGTTGTTCATTGCAAGATCTTGCTATGAACTCTGTTATAGAGTTCATTTGCGGCACTAGAGTACTCTGTCTCCCTCTTGTTGCAATCTCTCAAAGCACATTACGTCTCTCTGTCCCCGCACTGCCTGTTTCCTTATTAACACCAGCATGCCACTTTAACACCTCCTATCCTACATAGGCACATACTAACAACACTTTTGTCATTGTTGTTATTATGCTTGTGGGTCTGCATGTCTCTTCAACTGTATTATGTTCTTTTGTTTTAAGGGCATGCATGCAGACCCCCCCACTGCATATATGCACACACCCTCACACACACATACTTACTTAATTTCATCATTTGAACTTCTTAGAGTTCTCCTGTCTTTGATAATCCAAGGCTTTAGGAGCAAAGGCATGTTTTGGCCTCAAGTACTGAAGAATTCACGAGTTAAAGGACTCTATGTGCCACATTTAATCACTGATAAAACAACTCCCCTCCTTTCTCTCTCTCACCTCTCCCTCTACCTGCAGCCGTGTGTTCAGTACTGGCCAGAGCCTGGTTTACAGCAGTACGGGCCCATGGAAGTGGAGTTTCTGTCCATGTCAGCGGATGAAGATGTCATCACTCGTCTGTTCCGGGTCATGAATGTCACAAGGGTGAGTCATGGTGGTTCTACAAAAGCCTGCACAGGACATGTAGTTCCTCTCGGTGGTATTTCACAAAATGATAACTTGAACCTCATTAGAAATGCATTAGCTGTTGTCCTCAGCGGTAATTCAGATGTGACATTTTACCTACAGTACATTTAGAGCTGCCAGCTGTAATGTGCATCTAAAAACCACCTGACACAAGTCCTCAGAGTCAAGGTACTATAGACTCGGCTGTTAAAATACTGTGTACCTGAAACCTTGAGATGATGATTTGAATTTCTGTATAATTTCTTGTATGTGCTCAAACTAAAAGGCTGCATGCTTCACTTGATGCTGGATTTCTACACAGCGTGCGCCTCTGCATCGTTATCTGTCTATATTGCTTTCTTATGCATACACGATGACACTCCTCTGCCTCATGGGACAGAGGGGGTTGTCAAATAAATACACTCTGAAATAAAGACACTCTAAAATATAGCCAGGAGATTTGTACTGAGCCCAGTGAGTACGAAACATATTCAGAGACTGTATTATGCATACTACAAAGGACATGGTTTTGATATTCAGCAGTCCAGAAAATTGAGCCACCCATGTTTCCATAAGATGTTCCCATAAGAGTGATGCATATTACAAGAAATTTCTGTGGAAAACATGCAAGAAAAGCCCATTAACATGCATGCAATAAAGGTCAGTCACTTCCTTTTTCAATTTCTTCTTGTCATTACCTAGATAGGCGTCTTCCCTCTCTCAGGTGCCTGTTGGCATAATAAAGAGGAGACTTTTATCATCATAATGAATGCCATATTTTCAGTCATGGGATACTCTTTTTAAGCTGCAAAGCAGACTCTCTTTTGATTTGTTCATAAACCGTATCACACATTTCTTTAAAAGAAGTATCTGGCATGTAGAGAATTAGGAAGACCTCACGAAACAGGCTAAATAAAGACACTGACAGCTCCGTCGTCGTAGAGGGAGCACAGGGGATGTCACCGTGGTCTTCTCTCAACTTATTTTTCTCCAGATGCGTGCATATGTATGAATCAGTCATTTTGACTTCACACACTTCACTGGGTTGATTGTGCGTGTGTGTGTGTGTGTGTGTGTGTATGCAGGTATGGTTTAAGCCTGCAAATTTGCATAAGCACATGCATGCATTCTGCTCAGGATCACTGTCAACCAATTATTGAAGAAATCTGTATGCAAGGCGTTTTCCTGGCTGCCATTAGAAGCAGCGCGACATGCATCGCCCAGAACTTCCTTTCTTGATTGGTATCCTCACCCCCTCTGTCGACTGCCCTTGTCATTCCCCTCTCTACCCGTGGCACCTTTTTTCTACTCAGTGCACGCCACTGTCAAGGAGAGGGCAACTTAACACAGCATGGGAGAAATCAAATCACACAGAAATAACACACAGCTCTCCCTCTCACTGCCCCTCTCTCAGTGCATCAGTGTGTATGCTTCCTATGTGTGACAATGATATACAACAGTAGCGAGTAAAAGTCAAAGGAAGTGCAATGTAAGCATATGTATGTGTGGGTAGAAGAGTAGTACAAAAAAGAATACATAGTGTAAATCCCACCTCCGCTGAGGCAATTCCTCCATGCATCGTTGGTGTCTTTGCCAGCCCAATTTGCATGAGTTACAGTTCTCCACTGGTCCTTAAGTATTAGGTGAGATTCTACAGGACAAGGTTATGAACACACAGGGACCCCTCTCACACACAGCCCGAGCCCTGCTTCCACCTGCAGACTCATATATCTCAAAGTCAGCCTGCTGAGTGAGCACAGCTAAGAGTGCCAGCACGCCGCCAGGGGAGCACTCAAACACGGGTGTTAACTGGCACACACAGAAAATACTGAAACAACCAGGAAATGTAATAGAACACAGACACACTGGAGCATGTGCACGCACACCCACACAGTACGAGAACACTCAGATTCCATGTGTTCAATGTTTTCTGTTGCATCCAAAGCTCCAAGAGGGCCAGCTGGTGGTGTGTCAGTTCCAGTTCCTGCGCTGGTCAGCATATCGAGATGTTCCCGACTCCAAGAAGGCTTTCCTCAACCTATTGGCTCAAGTGCACAAGTGGCAGAGGGAGTGTGGAGAAGGACGCACTGTTGTCCACTGCCTGTGAGTAGTCTGTTAGCGACACACATCATGCACTGTAAATTAAAAGAGACAGCGACAAGGCAGAAATTTTCAGTCGGTCCCTTTCAGACAGGGAAATTCCTGCTGTTTGAGAGTGACATTTAAAAGTGCATTAAACCAAAATCTTATTCTTAGAGGGGAGTATGTTAAAACATGGTAAATCAAGCCCAACTCTGCTGGATAAAACTTGTCATGTCTTGTCTCTGTGGTGTTTTTTCTTTGGTTTCCGTGCAATGAGATGCCGTGAAAAGTACTTTTCCTTGGTAGTATTTTTATTATGTAGAAAATCAAATTGTGGTTTAATGTGCTGCACCTTGGTGTAGTGCAGTGTGCGATGCTGTATGCCCCTATGTTGTCCTAAGCCCCCGGAGTGCACACCCGCTGATGAATATGAATGGGCCGTCCAGCTCATTGCCAACCCATCACACGTTTATCCCCACCGCCCCCATCCAAAAGCACATCACTCAGCGCTGTCACACAGTGTTACCCACGACAACCAGGAAAGAGATTATGGAGATCAAATCAATTATGGCTTAATACAGAATGCGATGGTTCTCACTACAGTAAATCCAGGACTGCCAAAACACTGACGACGATTGATTACCTTAATATTGCTTGTGTACGCTGCGGAGGCTTTCATGCCCACCTTCCCTGCGTCTGTCTCAGGAGAGAGGAAGTGGATTGTCCTCCACTAGTTTATTGATATTGCCTTTCATTTATGATGACCAAGACAATATTTCCGAGGAAATGCCACACCGCACTGTTATTTCTCAATTTTCTCTTCCTTACAGATTTTTTTCATGTTGCTATTTTTGTATCAAGATATTGTGTGCGTGTGCTGTATGAACTGTATCAAGTGTTTTTCATGAGGTAGCATGAACACAAAAACAGGGTTATCAGATTTCACTTATTCTGCCCTGCTTATACTGTATTATTGTCTTCCAGAATCCACTTAAACATATTAGGAGGCTCCCTCTGCAGACAGAGATATATTTGTATTGAAATTTACTGTAAATATGCAGCACATACCCTGCTGAACATGCAGTATGATAAGGTCGAGACTGCATCATACTGAAAGTAAGGTTGTGAAATTGAACTGCGTGTAATGAAGGACAAAACAAGGCAGTTTTTTTTTCATGACACATTTCAAACACAAAAGTTAATTTAAAATGCACAAGTCTACAGCCATGCTAGTGGCTCTGTGAGGCTGTACAGTGGTGCTTTAAGCTAAATGCTAACATCAGCCTGCTAAAATGCTCTTAATGGTAAGGCTAACATGCTGATGTCAGCGGCAGTGTTGTAGTCAAGACCACCTAAACCGAGACCAAGTCATGACCAAGACCAGAGTGTTTCAAGACCGAGACAACACCAAGACTTTAAGATGTTGAGACCAAGGCAAGACAAGACCAAGTGACCCAACCAGTGCAAGTCCCACACAACATGACACACTTATGATAAAATTTGGAATATGCAAACCAAAGGCACTCCTTGAATTGATCTGAAAGACCCACACTCCCATAAAAATACCCACAGAAAACAAATGAAGATTGCTCTCTTTTCGCCTCTTTTTTGCCATATACTGTACACAGTACAGTATGTGTTTATGTATAACCGTGTCATGAAAAATGTCTTGATAAAATAATTAAAGTTAATTGGAGTTTCAGAGGTGAATTTTATGTGTGGGAGTTTTCATTTGTTTTCTATTAGCAAACAAGACAAACAAACACTAAGGAGATGAAATCAACTCAACCGTCTTTTTTCAACACTCCTTTTTTGCATAGATAATTTAGTAATAGCCCCACATTTATGGTCTTGATCGGTCGTGAAGACAAGACAAGACAAAACCATATACAAATGTGGTAGAGCCCCAGAGGAGACTGAGACCTTCAAAAAGTGATCTTGAGATCAGGACCAATCTTGAGTACTTTAACACTCGTCAGGAGATCACCAGAGTTGTTACAACAAACTCTGAGGGGAATATGAATGGCAATCCATCCAACATTTATCAAGACATCCATCCATTCATTTTCATCCACTTATCCAGGGTCAAGTCACTGGGGCAGCAGGCCAAGCAAAGCACTCCAGACATCCCTCTCACCAGCAATGCTTTCTAGCTCCTCCTGGGAGACCCCAAGGCATTCCCAGGCCAGATGAGATATGTAATCCCTCCTGCGTGTTCTGGGTCTACCCCGAGGCCTCTTAGCAGTGGGACGTGCCTGAAACACCTCCAGTGGAAAGCGCCCAGGAGGCATCCTGATCAGATGCCCGAACCACCTCAACCAACCCCTTTTGATGCAAAGAAACAGTGGCTCTACTCCGAGCTCCTTCCAGGTGTCCAAGCTTCTTACCCTATCTCTAATGCTGAGCCCAGCCACCCCATGGAGGAAACTCATTTCGGCGGCTTGTATCCGCTATCTCATTCTTTGGGTCACAACCCAGAGCTCATGACCATAGGTGATGGTTGGGACGTCGATGGACCAGTAAATCAAAAGCTTCGCCTTCTGGCTCAGCTCCCTCTTCACCTCAATGGACCAGTGCAGCGCTCGCATCACGCAGCAGCCACACCAAACCGCCGATCCATCTCACACTCCTTTCTAACGTCACTCGAGATACTTGAACCCCCTTGCTTGAGGCAGTAACTCTCCCCCAACGCGGAGGGGGTAATCCACCGGTTTCCAGCAGAGAACCATGGCCTCAGATTTGGAGGTGCTGACTCTCATCCTGACTGCTTTTGATCAAAAAGCAAAAACGTGAATCTCACGGTGGTGCTAGAGGACATGTCAGGGGGGACGCTCAAGTCATTAGGGGTCATCCTCTGGGGAACATGAGTGTCTGTACAATGTTTCCATGGCAATCTACTGAATATTTGTCAAGATATTTACCATAAATTTCACATACCTACGTATGTACGTATGTAGGTATGTAGGTATACCTACCACGTACCTTGACCAAAGTGGTAGGCCAACAGTCTACATTGCCATCCCCAGAGCCAGGCTGCTAGCATGTCTAAAACAAAGCATTTAAGGATGAAAACAAATTGTAAATGAAATGAAAAAGATAAGGCATCTATTTAAGATGTTAATGATGAAAAAACAAATCTTCTCCTCTGCAGTAATGGCGGTGGTCGCAGTGGGTCTTTCTGTGCCTGCAATATCCTTCTTGAGATGATCCAGTACCAGAACATGGTGGACATCTTCTATGCTGTCAAAACTCTACGCAACTGCAAACCCAACATGGTGGAGTCCCTGGTAAGAGAGTCTGTAGATACATAAAACTATGTTTGTTCAAGTGGCAAGAATACGTCTACAATCATTTCCATGTTTTCGCTTTTTAAATTAAGAATATTTTATTTTTCCTCAGGACCAGTATCGATTCTGCTATGACCTTGTCCTGGAGTACTTGGACTGCTTTGAAGGTAGATAGCAACCAAGTGTTTACCACAGCTGCAGTATCCCATCTGCTGGAGATTCGATTTATGGCAGCCCAGTGACCCCTCTACTTTAATGTTTGGACCTAAGGACTTGGCGTTGAAAGGACTGCAAAGGAAAAAGAGGAGAATAAAAAAACATGGTCGAGGTTCTATCTTTTAACCTTTAATGTACAGCTGTGATTTCCTCCTTGTTGGTGATGTTTATCTCTTTTGATATTTTTTTGTGCTTTTCTTGGTCCTCTTTGCCTCTGGACTAAAGCTCTTTTGTGCTAAGGGTTTCTGTAGCAGCAAAACAATATTCTGAGCTACAAAATGGACCTGTCTGTTCTGAAGAAGAGTCACCTTGGCTGTGTTTCATCGTTTCATTCAAACAGCGAGGGGGCTGGATGAATTTCCAGAGTTACAGCAGAATTAACGTGGAAGCATTTTCTCCTCTTTCAAGAGCTATGTACAACAGCAGTCCACTGTGGTTGTGGCATGACTTATCTACCATACCATAAACTGCCTTATTCTCTGATGATAGGACAGATTTATTCTAATCACTGAATAAATCTGAAAGGTTGTCATACTGGTGTACAAACAGCAACAAGAGGTTTTAACAAGAGACCTACAGCATTAGGGTAGACCAGCCCAGTCCTCAGCAGTATTGATGCAGAAACTGTACAGTAGTGCAACGTGTTGTATTTTGCCATAATGTTTGTGCTGGATTACCATGTGTGCTATAGGTGGACGTTTCCAGGGACCACAGCACTGGGCCTGGTGCCACCACTGGAGATTCCTGTCTCATTACTGTCACAGTGCCAATCCCATTGACTGACTTGAACCCTCTCTTTACTTTGCTCTACTGCTTCATCTTGATATATGCCTACAAACATACAGTATGTACTGCATCAGCTAATGTTCTCGCTCCAAAGTGATTGTTTGTATTTTATACCCTGCGGGAAGGAAAAAGGAGCAGAGGAAACTGTTTGAATTGTACTGACATGCCATAGTGGTGGTGTGAAAATGATGTTCCATTAATGCCGTGGTGAAGTGTCTAAACCAGTGCTGCATTACAGGTTTGAGTCTGTAACACCTTTTACTCCTTTATTGTCTGAGGCATTTGGTTGTACTGTAAACTGTCACAGCAAGCTAAAACCAGAATTTTATTACAACCCTTTCAGGTAGGGGGCTCATTTTGACAATTTTGACATGAATATTAGTTGTTGTTCCAAGTGGTGTAAAATAAATAAAGTAAATATATATGAATATAAAAGGGCATTAACATTGTGCAGAAGGAAAAAAATCTACTTGTTTTCACAATGGTGGTCATTTTTAGTATCTTAAAGGGGACCTATTATACTCATTTTCAGGTTTATACTTGTGATTTGAGTTTCTACTGGAACTCTTCATACTGTCTGTACTGGAACACCTGTATTCACCCTCTGCCTGAGACATTTAGCTTTAGTGCCTGACCTTTTTTGCCCCCCTCCCAAAAAAACACAGTCTGCTCTGATTGGTCAGTGCGTTTCCAGGTCTTGGTATCTCTGCCATGGATGTATAACGAGAACGGGATACAGTATTGGAGCCAGGGCCCCATTCATTCCTATGAAAGTTGGTCAGTGGCGCCAAAAAGTTTGACTTCCTGGGTGGAACATTAACTCTTTCTTCTGCATCATTGGGCCATAGTGCAGGTGCACTACAGACTTTTGTGTGTCAAGCGAAAAACTTCTGCCTTAGCCCTTCGCTAACTTGAATGGGGGTAAAATGATTAATCGTGCAACTCTTCTATACTTTCCAAATGTCATTGAACTGAATGGATCAGATCCGGATAGTCAAATGAGTCATTTTTGGGGGGTTGTGATGCTCAAAATTTTTTATTAAATGACTTACAAATGTCTCTCTCTTCAAATGTAACTCAATGGGAAAAATTGTTTGTCATATTAGCGTCAAAGTCTGGCACACTTCCTGGAGTCCTGCACCGCCATTGCTGTCAGGAGGATGAATGTAATGGTACAGCAGCACTTTCTACTGTTAGAAAATCACCTATAAATACCTCTAAACCAAAATCTTTACAACCGGACATGCTCCAGCAGGAATATAATTTGAACTTGGGTCGAAATTACTAACATCGGCAACCAAGATTTCGTGTTTGGCAGACATTAGCATGAAGCTACATGTAGCAGTGTGGGCACTTGCTGTAGCGTGCCTGGAGCAGATGTCCATATACAGAAATTGTCATGATCTAACGTTATCTTGTAGTTAAAATAGGAAAAATGTTTGAAACAGCGAATTCAGAACGGTCTGAAGTTTGATGTGTTGCTCACAGGGATTACTTTTACTTATGTTTACTTCATTATTTGAAATTTGGCCACATTTAATAAGAACATCCAACACTGTGACATAATATAAATCAGAAAATGAGGAAAAGCATAATGGGTCCCCTTTAAAATAAAAATGGTATGTTAAACAGGAGAAATAGTACGAAAAAGTTGCCCACAGACCCTGCTGTTTGGCCTTCACTGACCTGATGGACAAACAAAATCCACTATTTTTCACCTACCAGCCAATGCCTGGAGACCACTGGAACTGTTAATCCTGCATCATTTGAAGAAACCCAGGCAGGCTGGCATGCGTGATACACATAATGATCTGAGTCAGCCTCTAAAAATGACCCAGGAAGCAAATCTCTTTGTATTTTTTAACATGTTGCTCCAGAAGCAAGAAAATATGTATTCTACGCTCCATATTGCCCTTTAAAATATGTTATGCTCCACCATATCTCCTGGAACTCCTTTTAAGTGCAGGTTTTTATGGAGGGCGGTAAAGGTATCACTCCAGGACCTGCCCTAATAAACAAGGAGAGACACCTTGAAACCCACAGAAACTGAGAAATGGCAGCTAGGCGAACTCTGCTGCTGTAGTTCGCAGCTCACAGTCTGGTTCAGGTGGGAGCACCAGAATATGTGAGGAATCTTACAATGTACCAACATCACCAGGCTCCCACAGGTTCACTGATAGAGCAGCTTGTTTTTTTTGATGAGGATGAAGAATGAGGTAGCTACAGTGTAGTCAGCGATCTGACCCAGGATCACTGGAGGAAGTGCCTGGACACTTTTTCTTGAGGGTGGAAGGAATGTGTACATACAGATGTATATTATGTTATGTGAATACTATGTGAATAATATACTATATGTTTGCCGAGAGTAAAGACGTACAGTAAGTAACCACTACATAACCACGAAGGTGAATGTGCTGTAAATGACCATTTTGTGAGTTTATTGCCAGAACTTCTAACAACAGAGTATGAACTGAGTCTCCCTGAGTGTTCATTCCAGAGCTCCGAGTAAAACAGGTCTGTCAAAGCATGAATGAATCCATTTTCTGCTTTGTATTTCATTCAGTTAATTTCAAAGTACCGCAATCTGCATCGTTTATTTCAACCGCTGTGTTTTCCAGCAGCCATGACTGTGTGAGTGCATTGTACTTTTACCATTCCAAAGCTTTTTATGAACTGCTCTCTGGGCGGCGGCGACTGCCCTGAGAGCACAGTTGATTTCACTTGTGTGTTTCTGTATGAACCAATGGTACATGACATGACCGTTGTATTTGGGGGGGGGGGCAAGGTGTGTATTTAATGGGAGAGACGGGGAGACAGAAGTATTTTGAGGTCGGGAAAGGGGTTTGTTCTGAAGACATAAGAGCGATCAACAATAAAAAGAATAAGGGGGAAATGTGTTGTTGTCAACTTATCATTGGGTGTTCTGTCAAAAATGCATACACAGCTAAAAAAACGTCCTTGTGGTTTTATGATCGGTTTGTCAGCAGAAGCAGAGAACCGAAGTCTGGACGCGGACTTTCTGGCTACAAGCCTCTGACCCTCCTGTGATTTCTCATGCGGATGTGGTCTTTTAGCAGTTCCCTTCGCCTTGAACCACATCGACCATTTGATCTCACCCTTCTTTTGAATCTCTCACCTTATTTCTTTTCCTTTCCCCTTTTCATCACCCCTCCTCCTCTCGTATCTCTCTCCTCTTCCATTACTTTCATTGCTCCCTCTCATCCTTCTCCATCTCTTTCGCTTTGCTGCTCTGCCCAGAGTAAGGTGACTCCAGACCACAGACTTCCTCTCTCACCCACGGCTATGATGAATAATGCAGCAGTCCTGCAAACTGATCCAGTGTTTAGCAGAGGGACAAGAAGGATTAATTAGAGGACGAGACCCCCTACCGTTGGGTTGAGGACAATGTAGGCCATATGGATTCACCTTTACATTGTTTGGTGATTGATAAGCCTTAATAATAAGCTTTCATGTGTGGTAAATGAGTGTGTTGGTCAATTCAAGTGTTCTGTAGATGAGATTTTCATTTGTCACAGCAGTGAGAAGGAGCGAGAATGCATTATAGATTTAACGTGACATAGATAAGGAGCTTTTTCATGGAGGCAGGTCATTTACACTACCCTATTTTAATCTGCAAGATTTCCTCAATTTCCTTTTTTACCCGCAGAAAGGTATTACAACATGAAATCCTTAGCGGCAGGCTCCATCATCCCTTACTACTCGAATTTGACCTGTGGTTTAAATTAGCAGGTAATTGGAACCTTATCATTTAATTCTGATGGTGTAATGACTGCCATGCAAGGTAACTTATCATGAGGCCAAGATCCAACTGGGTATTGTCTTTTCTCTCTGGGCTTCATGTCTTATATTCCTCCACTGACAGGCTCGATGGATGTCAGCCTCTCCCTGGTCTCCCTGGTGAGTCTTGCACTAGATACACTCTCATGTGGTGTTTCTGTAAAACGGCAGTGAGGGCCGACAGCTAGCAGAGCCACTGTCAGCTGATGGAAAGAAGGCGAGCTACGGCTGATAGTGCTCTAAAATAGTGGTTTCCAACCTTTTTTTGTGTCTGACCATTTATCAGTTCAATTCAGCTCATTATTTCAACAGTCCACAGATTAATTCTAGCAATTTCGACCATTTATTTATCCACTACTGAGTGCTAACTATTTGGACCATTTACCCATTAATTTTAGCTAATGATTTCAACCATTAATTACCATTAGCTAACTATTTCACCTGTTCATCCATTAAAGCAGGGGTAGGCAGAAATCTGGAGAAGGACAAAAAAAAAAAAGTAGAATTTGAAAATACACCCTCCTCCTACAGCTCATGCCTCTGTCCCAAGCCCCTCCCAGAGAGAGAGACGACCACAGGAATTTGCATGTGCTTCATACAGTAATCCAGTGTTTCCCATACATGGATTTATTTAATCTTATTACATTGTAAAGTTGCCTGCAGGGCATTCCCTCAGCCCTTCCTTGTTTCCCTGCTGTCTCTGTGTTTATCAGACCACAGTCAGACAAGAATTAGTTAGCCACTCCCTCCACCTCGTTCCTCGCTGCTGTGGACTGCCAGCAGCTCAGGAAAGGACCCTAGGACAGCAGCAGGTGTCACAGTGGTCTTATGGCCAGTGGCAGTGCCTAGTCTGACCTGTGTAACAGCAGCAACAGAAAGTTTGCTGATCCAACTGGTAGTCCATACAGTCCAGTCCCCTGAAGCTGGGGTTTGTGTTTGCTGAATTTGGGTTGCTGCAGCCACTGACTGGGGGTCCGCCCCTGGAGCTAATGCCCACTCTCCTCCCAGTGGTATTCAGTGGCAGGATTCAAGGCTCTTGCTAATGTTAGCTACGTAAGTGTGAACTTGAAGCCGCAGCTGTGAGCCTTGTGCTTCAGATAGCAGAAAGCTCAACTATTAGCAACATTTTCTTGCCATCTCTTTGATAAATCTGTCTTAATTTTTTGTTTTGCTTTGCAGTGTAAGCAGTTGTTGACAATGCTGCAATAGCAACTTTAGCTGCAGGCTTCTCCAGCATTGAATCAGGCTTTTTAACTAAAGGGATGTGTGCACGCATCTGCTTTGTAGAACAGCCAGTAAGAACATCCTCTCTCTGAAGTGACCTGCGATTGGCCAAAGTCTCCCATCACCGCCTAGGTTTTCTAAAGCCTAAAAATAGAGCCAAGAGGAGATGCAGAAATAGTTTTTTTCTGCACATGAATTACAGTACACTCAAAGTTTATTGTGGGTTTTTTTGCCCAGTGATGCTAAAATAAAACTGCCTACTCGACATATTATTATAGTATTACTATTTGAAACAGTTACCCATTATGTGTGGCTAGTTATTCAAATGTTACATCCTCTCTTAGCTAACCCTTAAAACATTTATCAGCGACCTTTTGGTACCTCTCTGCTGGCTCATTAACTATATTTCATGC